GTGACAGCCTGTTTCTGCATAGATAGCCATCTTCTCAATCTCAGTACAAATTAAAGTAGATTCCATGTTTGCTAAGGGTCAGTTTTCTTACTCATATATGACATCTTCTCATTGGGTCTTCACATGGTGGAAGGAGTGAGGGTCTCTCTGTGGACCTCTTTTTTAAGGACATAAATGCTATTCATGATGGGTTTGCTCTCATGATCTAAACACCTCCCCATGACACCATTTCCTAATACCATCACTGTAGTAATTAGGTTTCAATGAATGAATTTTGGAGAAACAAACATTCAGACCATAGCTAAACGGAGAATTGAATAAAGGGACTGTTTTCAAAGGCCTGGACTGTTTTCACTGGCAAACAATGATGAAATGTCCTGTGCCTAATAACACAAGCCAGAGGAACCTGAAGGAGCAAGGGCTTGGAGTAATTACCAGAACCTACACACAGAAGGAGCTGTAGTCTTCAATGGACAAATTCACTCAGCCTAAGGCAACTGCTAGGAAGGGAGATGGAGAAATAAAGATCATGAACTCACTTTCTTCCTATGTTCTGAACTTCTAATCATAGACCTAACTGAACCCCAAGCCAGAAGACAAAAATGATCATTGATTCAGTCCATTGAAGTCATTTCCTAAGTATTTGTGCTCTTCTAGGGCACAGAGCAGGATAGAAACAGAGGAGATAAAAAGGGAAAAACAAAATATGTCAGTAAAATATCCTCATGTGAAAAACATAAATGAATGTTATTTCCACATGATGAAATGAAATTGTGTAAGGTGATGTCTGGCATATAGGTTTTTTTTACATTTTTTTTTTAGAGAGAGAGAGAGAGAATTTTAATATTTATTTTTTAGTTCTCAGCAGACACAACATCTTTGTTTGTATGTGGTGCTAAGGATCGAACCCAGGCCGCACGCATGCCAGGCGAGCGCGCTACTGCTTGAGCCACATCCCCAGCCCTGGCATATAGTTTTTAAGGAGGGAAAATATTTGCCTGGCATTACGTTTCCCATTTGTGGATATTTGTACAGTAGTGCCTTCCAAATTTCAAGTCAAATTTCAAGTTGGCTATGAACTTAACAGGTTTCCTAGTATTTTGTTTTTATAAAATACAGAAGACCAAAAATATATCTTGGAGAAAAGCTAGCCTTTTAACAAATGGTGCTGGGAAAACTGGATAGCTATATGTAGAAAAATGAAATTAGACCCCTATCTTTCACCCTGCATAAAAGTCAAATCAAAAATGGATCAGATGTAGGAAATTAGATCAGAAATCTTACAACTGCTAAAAGAAAACACAAGGTAAACAACTCCATCATATAGGTGCTGTCACAGACTTCCTTAATAAGACAACCAAAGTATAAGAAATAAAACCAACAATCAATAAATGGGATGCCATTAATTAAAAATCTTCTGCACAGCTAAGGAAATGATTAAGAGAGAGCCAAGAGAATGGGAGAAACTCTTGGTCAGCTACTCCGCCAACAAGGGATTAAATGCAGAATATACAAAGAACTCAAAAAACATCTCTAGCAATCAATCAAGAAAATATGAATCAAAACTACACTAACATTTCATCTTACTTCAGTCATAGTGGCAATGATCAAGAATAAATACTGGCAAGGTATGGAGAGAAAGGAATACTTTACATTGTTGGTGGGACAACCTCTCTGGAAAGCAATTTGGAGATTCCTCAAAAAACTAGGGATGGAACCACCATGTGATTCAGGTATCCCTGGGTATATTCCCCAAAGATCTAAAATCGTCATGCTACAGGGACATGCTACATCAATGTTTTTAGCAGCACAATTCACAATAGCTAAATTATGGAAGCAACTCAATTGTCCATCAATAGATAAATGGATTATAATACATATACCCATAACACACACAGAATGGAGTTCTACTCAGCCATAAAAAAAAATGAAATTATGGCATTTGCCAGTAAATGGATGGAAATGGAGAATATCATGATAACTGAAATTAGCTAAATTCAGAAACTCAAAGCTCCAATTTTTCTCTCATATGCGGAAGCTAGAGTAAAATGAAGGAAAGGGTAAGAAAAGGAAAAGATAAAGATCCAATCAAATACAAATTATTAGTTGAAAAAAAGGAAATCTAGTAGAACAGAAAAAGGAGAAGGGGGCAGGAGGGGAAAGGACAGAAAGTGAAACTGGTTTCTATGCATGTATGAGTTTGTCAGGATGACCCCAACTACTATGTATAAACATAAAGCTCTAATAAAAAAAATAAGAGAAGACCAGCACGTATCTCGTGAAATTAGGGTATTGTCTCATAAGACACAAATTTCAATTATGGGAATTTATCTGTGTGTGCGTACACATGTACATCCTCACACCAGTATGTATTTGTTCTCGGGGTCATAATGTAAAATGTACTTCTTACATAATCAAAACATGTTTGAAAGCCATAATCCAAGAAGAAAACTCTCAGCTAATCCCTCTCATTCCTCAAGAAGTTACTTGCCTAACAAATCAGAAAAATTGAGTACACATGCTCAAGTTCTTTCCTCTTCTTTTTTTTTTTTGAGGGGTGGGGGAGGTTACTGGATATTGAACCAAGGGACTCTCAACCACTGAGTCACATCCCCATCCCTTTTACTTTTTATTTTGAGACAGAGTTCTAAGGCAAGTTTCTAAATTACTTATTGTAAATTGCTAGGGTTGGCCTTGAACTTGTTATTTTCCTGCATCCTCCTCCCAATCCCCTGAGATTACAGTTTTCATCTCTTTTTCCTGCTATCCCTCTTTCTTTATTTCTTTTTTCCCTCTTCTTCTCTGTAGTAAACAATGGCCTTCAAAGATATCAGGTCCTAATACCTGAAATATGTGAACATTTTCTTTGATGCTATGATTAAGAGTCCTTAGAAGGAGAGATGATTCTGGATTATACGTACCTCAACATGTATCCTTTAAGAGAGCAGTAGAAAGAGATTTTACACACCAAGCAGAATGAGATGAAGACAGATTAGAGTGAAATTTCAAAAGTTAGCCTACCACATGGAAATGACTCATAAACAAATCAAGAAATGCTGGCAGTCACTAGTTAGAAATAGCAAGGTATGATTTTTCATCAGTTAAGGGATATATTTGAAGATTGTTTTTAAAGCCTATTTCTATGATTTTAGCAGGTAGGAAAGATATTTACCAATTTGGATCCTTAAGTGAGGTGTCATGAGAATTAGGAAAGCCTTGCATACCAATTTATACTGTGGCTTGTCTCATAATAATAAGATACCAGGCTAAGTGATGACTATGTGCAAGGCACATCATGTACATAATCTCCAACCTCACAAAAAAATGGCAAAGTAATCATCACTGCCCTTGCTTTACACATGAAAAACTCAGTCAGAAATAACTTGTGCAATTCAAAGAAGTAAGGACAGAATCAGGATCCGATCACCTCAACGATGTGTGGTGCTGTATTATCTATCTCATTTTTAGACGCTAGCGTGTGGAAAGCTGTTTCTCACACAAACCACATGCCATAGTTTGTACACTTGAAAATATGCATAATACAAATTTCCAGATAGCATTCTAGTTTGTTTCAGCCAATTTGGTACCAAAGTCTTAAGCCTCCATTGATTAATTCTTTTGCAACTGTTGGGTTAAAAATTACATTAAAAAATCCCAGTGAGTCAGGAAAATGAGGTAGGAGGATCGCAAGTTCAAAGCCAGCCTTAGCAAAGACAAGGTTCTAAACAACTCAGTGAGACCCTGTCTCTAAATAAAATACAAAATAGGGCTGAAGATGTGGACCAATGATTGAGTGCCCATGAGTTCAATCCCCAGCACCCTCCCCAAAAAAATTACATAAAAGAGCAGGGAAAAAGATGTACACTTCAAACTAGTGTCTCAGTGCTAGATATCACCTGAAATCATGTATTGACAATAAATGAGAAAATCTTAGGGTCAGAAGAGTTCTTAGAGATCCAAATGCAAACTGTTTCTATAGATGAAGAAAAGAAAGCCAACTTACTTGCATATTTGCCTAATAAATCAACCAACTTATCAAAACAGAATTGCACTATGAATATTTTTAACACTCTGTTAAGTTCTTTTTAAAATTTTTTTTAGTTGTAGATGGACACAATATCTTTATTTATTTATTTTTCTGCGGTGCTGGGATTAAACCCAGGCCTTAGGCGTGCATGCAGGGTTGTAACCACTGAGTTACAACCCAGCTTTAATACTCTATAAGTTCTAAGTGGTAAGCAACTACAAATTTATATTAGTCATCCAAATATTGCATTGTAAACTTCCATTATTGCCTTTATTATTTTTCTCCTTTTAATTAGGGATATACGAAACTGATGCCCTAAAAGGACAAAAATCAACCCTACATTCTACTTGGGGGACAGGGAGAGGAATTTTAAATAAAACTTTTCAGGTGTAGGAATTTGAGATCCTGCACCAGCTATTAACTGTCTATGAAGTAGTAATCACATTCCACAAATAAAAGTCCATTCACAGAAAGTGCTGTCAAGTCGCATCTTAAGTTCTTTTAAATAAAAGAACTCCACCCAGCAACACTTGAAACAGTAAAATTAGTTTGGTGTTCTGGGACATGTGGTTTGCTACACAAGGTTGTTACATATTTATTTAGATTCGTGGTGGAATCTATCACAGCATGTTTAGGTGTAGTCACAACCTTTGACAGGTTTTTGGTTTTTAACGCAATGTAATAGGTAGGAAAAGAAACTCTTTTTGAGTAAGGTTTCCCACTATTTATTCACTCTTCCAGAACCCATGCCCTCCTGACAAGAATTTCCAAATCCCAACAGTCTTGGAGCAAAGGACAAACGACACCCTTAAGTCCCACCCTTAGCCCAGGTTATTTGTCCACCCTTCCACTAACCCGAAGTCTCGGTTTCCGCCCGCCCACTGCTTGAGGGACGTTAAATCCTGCTTCGCGTTTACTTTTACGACAGTTTTCCGACCTAGTTGGCGGCCGCTACTGCCGTATTTCACAGGGCTTCTGGACTTGAGAACTTGAGGTTGCTTCGGTGATTGCGTCGCTTTAGGGTAAAGGCATATGGTGGTGACCTTGTCTTCTGGACTGGGATGAACCGCGCTCCTGGTGGAAGCAGGGAAGCCGAGCTAAGCCATGGTAGGTTCAACCTTTGGTCTCCCGGTTAATCTCCTGCCCAGGCCTGAGCCTCAGCTCCTGGCCTCGGAGGAGTGGAGCAAAGTTGTGCTCCCTAGTGCGTCTGTTGGCGGGAGGTTTAGGTCCCCGGAGTGTCACAGCCTCCAGGACACAAAATCGTTGGCGCACCCCTCGTGGATTTTGTGTTCTTATACTGTCTTTGGGTAGGGGACGCCAGCCTTGGTCCGTGGTCCCTGAGCTCTGGGCACGAAGGCGTTTCTTGAATTCTCAAGTCAGATACTACCGTCAATTTGGAGATTAGTAGAAATGCATTTAATATTATCGAATACATCCTCCCGCTATTTGCTTCTCTTTGCTCTGCCCTTCCTTTCTGGGTCCTACTGACAAAAATTCATTTTCCCTGCTTCCCGAAAATATTTGGGCTTGTCTATTCTTACGAGGCGGGACAGTGTCAAAGGCACTCTGAAAATCTCTTTGCCTATTTAAACCAACATTTTTTTTTAGCATTGAAAACTCCCTTTATAAATAGTTTTACTTTTTCTATCATACTTTTTTTTTAACCTTTATTTTTATATGGTGCTGAGGATCGAACACAGGGCCTTGCACAAACTGAGCCACCACCCCAGCCCCTCTATCAGTCTTATTTCACTGTCATGATTGAACTTTAAACTTCATTGAAATAAGCTTTCAAAGGAAGGGAATCATTCTTTTCACTGTTGTAAATAATACTGTTGTAGAGGTAAATAATAGATCAACTTACCCTCTGATATTTACAGTGAAAATGATACCTTTGTAATGCATCTATTAATAAGTTATAGTATTATAGGACTATTGGATAGAATATATTCACCTTAAAAGATTGCTTCTCCCATTGAAATGAAACTTGTACCGAGTTAGGATGGGGAAATGGGTATGATAAGGGTAGGAACTGAAAAAGTAAATGCTTACATTACATTTTCTTCCCCCTTACCAGGCCAGTACAGTGGTAGCAGTTGGACTGACCATTGCTGCTGCAGGATTTGCAGGTTTGTTTTTGGTTTGGGAATGAAAGTGAAGTAGGGAGACTGGGGATTTACTTACTTATCCTGTTACTTTTGGTTTTAGGCCGTTACGTTTTACAAGCCATGAAGCACATGGAGCCTCAAGTAAAACAAGTTTTTCAAAGTCTACCAAAATCTGTAAGACTTACTAAACATTTTTTTGTGATTTTGCTAACTTTGCTACCTGTGTTTGAAGTGTAGAACCATAGTTTGAAGGGAGAATTTCCAAACACCCACGAAGTCAGAATATGACTTTGGACCCCTTCTCTTGCTTCCTATAAAGGGTGTAGTAGTTGCAAACTTTGTAATTGTGCTACACTAAGAAATCAAATGTTGTCTGTTGGGGCATGTGTAATTCTATTATTATGAAAGTTAATTACCACTTTGCTTTTTTACATCATCACATTTTTGCCTTCATCTCTGCATCACAAGCACAGAGGGACTGAAAGTGATCCATTCTTAAGTGTGTGACCTTGGCTCTAACATGGCATATCTATCTATTTAATCTATTAGGACTCCTTTATCTCAAAAGATCTCCAACCAGCTGTGTGTGGTGGCACACAGCTCTAATCCCAGATACTTGGGACACTAATGGAGGAACATTGCAAGTTGAAGCCCAGCCTGGGCAGCTTAATAAGATCCTATCTAAAATGAAATTTTTAAAAGGAGGACTGGTAATTGTACCTTATAACATCCCTGGATTCAAACTCCAGTATGCCCCCCCCCCCCCCGTCCTCCATCCAAATCCTATTGATCAAAATTTTTATCTAGAATATGGCTTTCTGGGAATGGTCCTCCCTTTACTTCTCAAACAACTAGCATTAATACTGTGCCTTTAACATATTCCCAAGATACTTTGTGTAGGATGGAAAAATAAAGTTTTAATAGTCACTTAAATGTTTTTTGCTACTAATTACTCTGAAATAACTGGAAATTATTCTCTGAAATGTCGAGTTTTCATCTAACTCTGTGGACAGACTCTTTAGACTTTTTGCTTTTTTAAGAAACAGTTTATTAAATAATCTTTCCTTATGAATGCATTTCCTCTTTCAGGCCTTCAGTGGTGGCTATTACAGAGGTGGGTTTGAAACCAAAATGACAAAACGGGAAGCAGCATTAATACTAGGTGTAAGGTAAACATTCCTCACGTTTGCTTTTTTTACAACTCTAGAGAATTTTATCCCTGGAGAATTGATTTGTGTCAGTAGAACCTTGCTGCTTAATCCATGTGTTTTTAATGTCTGGACGCTCCTGCCAAATGAGAAAAGCACCCTGGGAAAGCAGCACATTTTCATTTACTGAAAGAAACCTTACAGATTTGCATAATATTGCTCTCTGTAACTTAAGATGTTTTAGTGGTGAAAACCTGTCTTCATTTCCTTTCCTCAATAAAAGGGTTGTTGTAAAAAGTGTGTGTGTGTGTGTGTGTGTGTGTGAAATGCATTTGTGAAAGTGCAGTTTGTGTGTTGAGGATCCAAAGCAACTTTTCATTTCATACTGTTTTGTTGATTTACTATAGTTTCATTTAGTTAGCCCTCATATACATTTTTTTATATCATCCAAAAGTAGACTGAAATGATACCCTTTCCTCTTTTAATCAGCCCTACAGCCAATAAAACAAAAATAAGAGATGCTCATCGACGAATTATGCTTTTAAATCACCCAGATAAAGGTAAGTAATCACTTCATGTGTTGGAGTGACCCAACCTCCCCTCTCTCCCTGATTGGGGGTTGAACCTAGGGTAATTTTACCACTAAATTGAAAACCCACCCATTTTTATTTTGGGACATGGTCTAAGTTGCTCCAACTGGCCTAGAGCTTACAAATCCCTCAAATTCCCAAATAGCTAGGATTACAGGCATGTACCACAAAGGGCTGACAAATTTTATAATTAATTCTTGGCTGTTGAAATGCCTGAATTTGCTCATGAACAATGTTTTGATATCTATAACTGTGATGAAATGAGACTGCTACTAATGATGGTCACAGATCCGACTAGGTTTGGGGGCGTGGGGTGGCCTACATTCACAATGTTAATTTCAGTTAATGAAACTGATTCACACACACCTCCCCTTTGGACACTTTGAACTGCAGGTTGCTAGGTAGAAATCTAAGGTATGTATTACTGGTTCTGTTGAAATCAAATAATTCCTCTGAATGACAGAGTACAAAAATCCAGTGCATAATCCTTTCACTTATGAGTTTTGAGGATTCTGGATCTGAGGTATAACCCATAAACATCTTTTTCTACAAAGTTTCCTATTAACAGTGTTTGGTGATCTTCAATCCATACAGCCCGAACAGAATAGCAGTACAGCAGCTATAGAGATCTTGAAAGGTCAGTTGTTAGAAAAACCATAAAGGACAGAAGGAAGGATGTGAAGTACACTGGGGTCCTTCCAACACAGAACTTTTGAGAATAAAAGTAGGTTTATAGGATTTCAAAAGCAAACACACAGCCAGGCATGGTATTACACACTTGTAATCCCAGTGGCTCATGAGGCTCCTGAGGCAGGACTGCAAGTTATGAGCCAAAAAAGGGCTGGGGATGTGGCTAGTGGTAAAGTGTCCCTGGGTTCAATCCCTGGTACCAAAATAAAAGCACATGTGGCATTGCTAAAAACCCAACCAGTTTTTAAGCATATTTCTGTGGAAATCTCTCAGGAGAATTATTTCATTGACCACTGGTCATCTATATTATATATTTGATGATCAAGTTGCAGTCACAGTATAACTTTACTGAATAGAAGGTTAAAGCCCATTTTATAACTATTCCTTTTTTCTTTCTTCCTGTAGGAGGATCTCCTTACATAGCAGCCAAAATCAATGAAGCTAAAGATTTATTAGAAGGTCAAGCTAAAAAATGAAGTAAATGTATGATGGATTTTATGCTCATTAATTTATGTATATGAGTACTGATTTTTTTTAATAATAAAACTCCTCAGAGCTCCAATTTTTAAAAAATGATTAACCAAAAGCTAAAATAAAAGCCTTGGTATAATTTCAAATTTGAGGATTTTTAAAATCAGACAATAGTGTTTACAGATTAATATTCAATAATTACAGAAAGATACATGTGATGTTAGGAGAAACATTATTCATTATTATTCATTACTCATTTATTATTTGCACATATGGTGCCCATATGTGCTCTTAAGGCACAGTTCTTGCTCTAAAGCAGCCAGTCTAATAGGGGACTAAAATATTATGGAGTTGCACACAAACTGTTGAAGCAGGTAATTCTTACTACCTTTGAGGAAAAACTACTCAAGATACTACTGGCCTACTTGAATTCTTAAGTAAATTTAGCCACAGCTCTGACCTAAGAAATGTCCTAGGTATGTAAAACTATGAAAATATGAAAGATTTCTCAGTACAGGTCTGTTTTTAATCAGAATTATTTATATAGTATACAGCTAGTTTCTTAAAGACATACTGACCATTGATCAATTATCCCTTTTCTTTTTTACATAATGCAGATTTTTTGTAGTTATAATCAAGTTTAAACATCATTAGTGAAACTGAAATTTATTCAATGTCAAAATATTGTATGTCTTGGACTATTTAGAATTTATACACTAATTTCAATGACATTTCAAGGCAGACAATTTAACAGTCTGACAAAATATGAAAGGGTCTTAAACAACCTGTATAAAACATCTATAGTAAACTAGCCAGTGATCCTCAATTTCTATCTAAACTTACCTAAGTCATTGTAAAGTTCTTTAATGTAGAAGAAAAAGGTTTTGAGGGTGACAGTAGGGACAGTAACCAAATTTAGTGATGAAATAGCTCTTTGGTTTACTTTCCTCCCTGTATCCTTATCTGATGAAATCTGTAGGTTATAAGGAGGCACTGGCTTCTAAGGCTTTGTGTAATATCAAAGGGTGGGGGCGGGGATAAAGATACATTTAGTCCTATTGTATTCACAGCACTTGCATTCTTTTAAGTCATTGTGAACATTGAATTACTAAACTCTAAACCACTTGTTATTAGGGGAAATACAGGCTCCTTTTAAAGTCTCTGGTCATATTACACAAACCGATCAATACTTAAACTTGTTTTATTTATGTTTCTATTTTAAGACACCCTATTTTATATTTTTGCTTTATTAATATTGAACTCACTCAACAGCACTATATAACTCACACTTGGCATATGATAGCCTTTTTTTGCTTTTAGGAAAACTAGATAATGCTTCACTGCTATGGTTGTGAGCCATCTTAAACAGAGAGATCACCAAAAACAATAACAAAAAAAAAAAAAAAACCACAAACAAAGTATGAGAGCTGAAACAAGTATGCACAAGACTGCCTTGTTTCGATGCATGATGTGATTCAGTTTTTTGCCACTCTGCAAATGTTCAAAAATGACAAAGTCACAGGTATTGATTTAGAAGTTAAAAATTTCAGTGAATATGTGAATTCACAAATAAGGAATCCACTAATAAAGAAGACTGGCTGTGTTATGGCTTACTAACCTTTTATTTCAGTTCTTTGGACTAATAAACTTTCCATGAAGAAGAGCTTAAAGAGGAGACAGTATCAGTCCATTTTCCACAAATAGTGTGATAATATGCCCACAGGCAATCAAGCATTAACTATAAAAAAAGACAGACTTAATAGATACAAATACTTTCAAGTGTTTAATACAAATAGCATACCTGTTTTACCACAGGTATTAAGAAACTACGTTAATACTAAGGAACAGACCTCAATTTTCTTTCACACATTTATTTTCTCTAGGCTTACCATTTTCAAGTAGAAGAACCCATACTTAATTAAAAGCTATAAGCAAAAAATGTTTTAAATAACATATGTGAGGGCTGTAGACCATAGTGGGTAAGTTGATTCAAATGTGACTGAAACAAAGTTTTTCTAATTGGTATTTTCATATAAAATACTAGAATCTTTAAAATCTGCTAGCATTGTGCTAAAGCATTGTCACTGTATGGTTTTTAGATAAATGCCAAAGGCAAAGTTCCACGCACTTATACTCAGTACCATGGTACCATTCACAATTCCGATAACCCAAACATATTTACCTTGGTTATACCAATATGAGTCTAGTACTTGTCCTTAAAAACCTATTTTGAGACCTTTTTCCTTGCCAATTGATGTTTATAGATTTTGAGAGGAAGGGACTGGCGTATAGCTCACTGGCAGGAAGGCCCTTGTTTCACTCTGAAACCACCTATCCTTGTCTTCCCAAAAAAGTATGATAAGACACCCTTAAAGAAAACAAGATGCAGAATTCAAATCAGATATTTGTAATCATTGCTATGTCTTTCAGCAAGTTCTCTACTGAGGGCTCATACTTTCTCATCTGTAAAATGAAGGATAAATGGCCAACTTGAAAACGGTTGAGGATTCCTCATTTTATGGCTAGGGAAACAAAAACCCAAGAGATAATTTTTTTGAGATTACACAGCTAGTGCAAGTAGAATTAACCTCTGGGTGTCTGATCCAATTCACTATATTCATTTATAACTTGGTACTCTAGTTACTAATAAATATTTTGGGGAAATTACTATCCACAACCTTAACAGACCTGACATATGGAAGGATTGTGTGTCCTTTACACTTTCACTTTTTTCAGGGTTGACATCATTAGGAGGTAAGTACTAAGCTTTTCTTTTCTTTTTTGGTAATGAAAGTGGGCTATGAATGGCCTTAGAACCTCTTTTCTCCATGTTTAACAAAATTATCTTGCCTGTAAGTATTTTGCAACTGATAGGACTTATGGAAGTACTTGAATAAAAAGTCATGCAGACCACTATTCCAGAGGACACATCATTTCACAAATATTTGAGAACACTTTTATGAAAAACAGGTCGCATATAAGCACCATACCTGTACATTCAGCTGATCATATTTTTTAAGTGGTTTTCTGTCATTCTTAATTTCTTATTAAAAGAGGAGGATACAGAAAACTAGAAGCAGGGCTGGGGATGTGGCCCAAGCGGTAGCGCGCTCGCCTGGCATGCGTGCGGCCCGGGTTCGATCCTCAGCACCACATACAAAGATGTTGTGTCCGCCGATAACTAAAAAATAAATATTAAAATTCTCTCTCTCTCTCTCTGTCTTAAAAAAAAAGATAGAAAACTAGAAGCAAAATCACTGACAATTACAAAAAATTTAGTAGCTACCCTAACATAAGGCAAAAGCATAAATATGTTAACTGCCATACTGAAGTGCTATACTGTGTTCAGCACTGAAATGTATGCTCTACCCTAAAAACCTTACATTAGAAATATTTAAAAATAAAATGCACTGCAGCACCATGCTTCTTTCATTCATGGTTAAGCATTATAGGATAGAACACTTCTACTTCAACTCTGAGAGCTGACTTACCAAAAGCATTCTGCAAAAGCCTATGGAAGGCTTTTTGTATGTATATAAAATATAGCATGCATCAAGCACAAACAAGCCTCCCAACATATTATTTCTGTGGAGAAGTCAGAGGTGGGCTCAAAAAAGTGAACTATAGGAAGAAATCTGAGGTATAAGTTTAAAAAAAAAAAACTATTTAAAATGCTAGATTGTGTAAACTATGAACTGAGTAACCTTGAGTACCAAGAAACATAAATGAGCTAAGCTCTGCTTTTAGTTGTTGCAGTTATGCACAGTGCTGTTTTTATGCTCAGGGCCTACTGTTGCCTTAGAAACAGAATATAAGTAGTGCTTCTATCCTGTTAACCTATTATATCTGAGCACAATAAGGTAACAGTCCAGTATTATGGTATAACCTGGTACATGTTAACACTTTTTTATCCCCTAGAAAATAGCAAGTCATTTGAAAGATAAAGCTCATATGATTTGCAGTATAAGCCCCAGGCAACAAGTATAAATTGGTTTAGAAAAACTACTGAAAATATTTTTATGAAAATGGTCCCTAATCTAAAAAAGTAGTAGCTGCATTTTATAATTCATTAAGTGTAAAAATTTTTTAAAAAGGTAAAGTACAGAAAATATTTTACCCGAGGTTAACAAAAAAAAAAAAAAAAAAAACCACTGAAATAGAAATTCAAGCTATTTAGTGCATTTAATAGTGGAGCATTTAAGAGCTAGGAAGATAGAAAACGTATTTTGGCCATCTTTAGGTAGCAGTCTTACCTAATTGGAAATGCCTGGGAATGGATATATGTAAAACACATCATTTTAATTCAGCATACTCTTTATGAGAATACAAGACATATGGTTAATGTTACACTCTGTGACACATGATTAGACTAAACTTAATATTGAAATGGCCCTGGAAACACCAACTAGTCAGTCTAGCCCTCCTTGGAGGCAGAGAAAAAAATTAGGCAAGACTAAAATAGTAGTTCCCAACTGTGTACTATTAACTTATAACATCTATTTGAATCTGAGGAGGAAAAAAGACAAATGGAATATGATAAATTATAAAACTGCATTAGTTATTCCCAGTGGACTTTTCAAGCCCCTATTTTAGGAACAGCAGAAGAACCTGACTCTTTTTAAAAAACAAAGGTTTTCCTACAGATTATATGTACCTCCATCATCCAGTAATCAGAAGTTTTCTGGATGCCTGGGCTCTACTGAATTTCATACTTAAAATATGCAATTAGGTTGAACCACAGGAAATTATTCATAGATTTTAAATTCTAACTATTACGTGGCAATTTTCTCTTGTTCAATACATGGACCAGCAGAGGGCAGTTTCAAGTTAACACCACTTGCCAAAAATCTGACTACAGCATATCACACTCACTGCTTTATTACAGCAGTACCTAAAATACAACCCAAAATATTACCATAGGTTAATAATGGGTTCTGAGGAAACTACAGTCCATTCAAACACACAACCTAATAAGGAACTAAAATTCTTAAAGAAGTAGTACATTCACTATTATCAATATTTAAAAAAAAAAAAACATTTTAAGAATGAAGAGTGAGACTTACTAACAAAACAAATATCCTATCCATTTCTAAGTTTCAAGAAGACTTAATAGAAAAGACATAGAAAATTCAAGTAATTTTCCAGCCAGGAAGCAGTGGTACACACTGGCAGGAGGGCTGTAAGTTCAAAATCAGCCTCAGCAATTTAGCACCTATCTTAAAATCTAAAAACAAAAATAGGGGGCTGGGGGAGGCTTGAGTTGTGCCTCAGTGCCTAAATTTAATCCCTGAGTTTAATCCCTGGTACCAAAACAAAGTAATCTTCATTTACTGTAATTTCCAATAACATTAACCATCTGATTGGCACTGGGCTTGATGCAATGTATCCAGTTTTCCATTTATTTATCCTTAGTATAATTATAAACGTAGTTCAGAGAATTACCTCCAAAAAGGCCTGAATATGCCTGCATGTGACAAAAATGGCACAATTTCCAAAACCAAGTGTAAATTTTAATTAATCTAGCAACTTGATAGACACTCTTCTGTTCTAAAACCATGGTCAAATAAGAAACAAAAATCATCTGTCAACATCTGCTTAATTAAGTGTTGGAACCTGCCTAGAAAGACTATTATCTATGAAGATCCAGAATACAAAAATTAAAAACATCAGCTGCTTTTGACTTAACCACAGCTTATGTTTCATTATTCTTCAGTTCTTTTGCTTACCTAAGCTTCACCTGTACTATTTTTTAAAATACATTTCTTTAAGCAGGGCACAGTGGTGCACACCTGAAATCAAGAGATTTGGGAGGCTAAGGCTGGATGAGCAGAAATTTGAGGCCAGCCTCAAATTTAGCACTCTGAAACTGAGTGAGGTACAAAGCAACTTGGTGATATCCTGTCTCAAAAGTGAGAAGGGGCTAGGGATGTAACATCCCTGGGGGTTCAATCCTCAGTACCAAAAGAAAAACATTCATCTAAGCAACCACCCTCAGCTTTCACCAAAAGCAGTAGTTAAGGTGTAAATTTCACATTAAAATACATGCAAATGTAAGATCACATATCCTTGTACTTAAGACAAATGATATCTAGTCAGAGGCAACACCTCCCAGAACAGTTTTTCTTTTTTTAAGGCTTTAAAAACATACCTAAAAGAAGAATCCTTAGCCTACCCAAGGTTATTAGAATGATCACACCATCCCTGCGCCTAATCTTCAGCTCCAGCATAATAGTTCAGGTTCTAAATGACTTCACATATATGCTGAAAACACTGAGATGCACAAGATCTTCCATTTCTACTTTGTTTTCCTTTTGTATTTAGTGTATATGACAAGTACTCCCCATTATATCTAACTAGGATAGCAGCCAAGAATAGACGCCTCTCAAAGTTTAAAAGGCAACCTGAATCCAACTACTTCTAGGGAGAGGACTTTTCAGGGGAGAGGACTTTTCACTAATACATCTGAATCTGAGTGTTTTTTGTTTAAAACAATCTAAGGTATGCACACCCCAAATTTGCTTCAGTACATTTTTTAAGAACAAATCACTGAGTGTAGTCATTTGTAAACTAAATGAAATCTCAAGTTATTTCTTAAAAGTATGATTAACTAAATACTGCTACTCTCATAAAGGGATTCAACTATACTCACTTTTTAAGGTAGTTTCTTCCTTTCCAATGGAACAATCTTTATGAAAAAAAGACTTTAGCGAATCTGACTGTTCTGCATGGAAGAAAATGAAAAAACATTTTTTCTTCATACCACATTTACCAATTTGGGGATTAATTAGAATTCTTCACAAACTGGGGACATAGCTCAGAGGCCCTGGATTCAATCCCCAGCACCATAAAATTTTTGAAAATAAAACTAATTGTGGAGGGCCCTTTATAGTTAATTGATAACCCACTTATGGAAAAGAACAAAAGGCCAACAATTTGTTTTTAACTTTAACAGATTATGTATACTTAAAAGGTTTGAGTAGTTTTTAAAAATCAGACTATGAATAGAAAAACTGAAGGAATTTCACTACTCATACATTACTTAAAAATTATCACTTATCAGGAACCACTAAGTTTTCAGGGGAAAAAAACTAATAACCAGCACATTTTAACCTCAGTGAGAATGTATTTGAGGGTCAGGGTTACACACACATGGGCAGGGCAAACTGTACATTTTTAACTATACCCTGAATTATCCTTTAGGTCATATAAATCAAAATCACATTTTTATGCACATAACAGACTATGCACATAAAAATCATTTTAGCTGCCAAATGACAAAACTGAGTGACTATCCCTTCTCATTCAGTGGTCCCTGTGACATCATAGAGAAAAACCCTCCCACAAATGCACATTTCACTTGACCCCACAACTAGTTATATAAATTATTACTCTATATTAAATTTCACATAAGTCTGTTCATGAAATTGAGCCTTCTAGCTAAAATACTCGTTTTCAATGAATCATTCAAAATTGTATCCTTGTAATTCAAAAGGCAAACTGCTGACCTATTCCTTATTTAAAAATTGCTTACCATAATTTTTAAAAATAATTTTCAATAGAGAATTAAAGGCAAAAGTAAAAATCTGGCTTCTACCACCCAACTCTTGATATTCCTTTGATCAGAATTTGATACAAAGATTTCCCCCTAATATCAAATGTATTGTTAACTACCTAAACCATTTAACAGACTAAACTTTGAATGTTAAGATTTCTGAAGATTCATAACAAAATGATTAAATAGCCAACTGACATTTTAATTCTATGTATGAGCAAGGGTAGATGCTTTTTAAAAGCAATCAAAGAATACTATTCTAGGCCTATAAGTAGTTCCAACTACTTTACAACAATTGGCATAAAAAGTAGAAAGTTAAAAATCAGCAAATGGAAGATCAAAGTTTATTTACTACCTGCATACAAAAACATATTGCACATCAAACAACCAAAATCAAAAAAAAAAAAAAAAATTTTAAAAAAGGAAAAGGGGAAAGATACTCTACTGAAGACTAACATGTAGTTTATACAGAACAAACCTTCTGGAAATTGATCTTTTCAGTAGTTCAGGTTATGTCTGATGGACATGACTAATTCAGCTTAGTGTTTTAACTAAAGCTATGTTTGATTTTTAAATACTGTACACTTTAATAAATAAATCAAACAAAGCCTCAATGTAGGAACAGTCACTGCCAATTTCACCCAGTGTCCCTGCAGATGAGCGTTAACAAATGTCTTCCAGTGGTCTGCAGATTTTCTTCAACATAAAGCATTTTAAAAAACACATTAAAACAGACCAGTTTCCAGACTAAACTAATGAAGAAATTACAATTCAGTGCAAAATATTTTAGACTGCATTTCATTCTAGGTTTCCTCAGGTGAAGAAGTGGTTGCATATTATTAAAAATGTAACAAAAGCAGCTAATGCTTTCATAAAGAATATTACGTTAGGGCACCCACCCCACCCACCTCCCCCATCTCTGCCATATTTTGAAAACAAAATAACATTTCCTATAGCCAGCAACTTTTTTTAATGTTACATATACTATTCTCAAGGCACATCTGATGATATATTTTATAACACAGTAGGTGTCAAAGTATGTTTAACATATGATTTCTTCAGGATCCCTCCCCTTTCTGAATTCCAAATGGAGGAACTGAAAGTGCGATGTAAAGACTGGCGATCCATATTCTATCTTTGGCAAGCTTGTACAAGCACTATTGTAAATGTAATGTAAAAGAACTGTAAACTAGGAACTTCTTCAGTTTATGAAACACCATTCAGGACTGCTGATTCTTGAGTGTTCTCTTCTTTTAAGGTATTAATCTTTTCTTCTCCTGGAGTACGCTGCAGCTTAGTAATTTCATCGCCAGAAGCACTAGTTGGGCCATTTATTGCCTTTTCTGAAGGACCATGCTCTTCAATCACATCTTTTGCCTGCCAAAGGGAGACAACTTTTTCAACTTCTTCATAAATGAAATCTATAGCTGAGGAGGAAGAAAATATCTACATATACATTAATTAGCTGATGAAATAAAAACTTAAATTTTGTATGCCATAGTAGATCAAAGAATTAAAAAAGTTCTTAAAATTTAAAACAAATACCAGTATATTCCACTCTCTGGGTCTGTCAACTCAGAATCTCTAGTACCTATGAGTGCCCAAACCACAACAGTATGCATACTACTTAATGAAAATTATACCTAATTTTATTTTAAATCACTGGAAAATTCACCATGTAAATGAATAGAAACAAACAAAAAAAAATCCTAAGAAAATCATCACTCACCTTTTTGTGAAAGTCAAATCAAATTTCTGACAGCACTTAAAAGAATTCAAACTTTAAAAGTTTATATCAATTACTGAAAAGAGTGATACAACTTTTTGCTCATCAAATGAAGCAAATCGCTATACCCACATTTTGGGCAGACTGAAATTTATAAATGCTAAAAAGTTCTAGCTGAAAAACAGTTCTAGCTCAAGCATACATATCTTTAGTTACCTGGGGCCAAGAAAAAAATTCAAAAGAGTTCTTTACCTAAAAGAATATTTATCTAATTGGGGGAACAAGTGATCATACAATAAAAAGAATAAATAAATAATAAAGCTAGACCATAGAAAGGGGGAAAAAAAAACAAAGAGAAAAAAACCCAAAAAAACAAACCAACAAAATAAATAAATAAATAAATATTTTTTTAAACCCTACAGGTTAAAGTCTCCTTACCATTTCTTTCTTGTTTTTAGCCAAAGATTCCCTTGGGAGGTTTCTTTGTCTGCTCTGAGACTCAGCTCTAGAAATATAATCTGCAACTGTGACTGTTAAAGATGAGAAAAAAATTACAGGTGTTGAAAAAATACTTCTAAAATTTATTTATGGATAAAGAGTAATTCACTATTAAAATAAACTAATGGTGGTTAACCCAATTTCAAAATGTTAAGCTGGGTACCACCTTAAACTAAAAACGAAGCTTGAAAAATGTGCCTATGATTTTAGTGCTGACAAAAGAATTTCAAGCTGGAAATTGAGGAAATCTGAAGTCCTCTTTCCCGAGAATCCAACTCTTTCCTTCTGGATTTAATCTAAGGCTGTGGGGCATCTTTGGTATATAAACCCACAACCAAGAATTAGTAAATTCTCATGCAGTGTGGTGTTCTACGCTCAAACGGGTGTTTGCAGTTATTAGTAGGAAAAAAATGGGTAAATTTGGTGTAAATCCTGGGGTTGTATACTTAACTTTGCAAATTTCAAAAGATTTACTCTGTGTAACTATGGTATCCAAGTGTGATATTTTGTGATCCCATCTTAATGTTTCAAAACAGAAACTATTCTGATTTAACAATCTAATTTCCTGGTTTAAAAAAAAGTACAAGCAAGCTAAAGATGACAAACCACCACTCTCAAGACGTGAACATTGCTCAGGATTAATAAAGGAGCCAAAGTGAAATCAGTCACCACCTCCCCCCCTCCCCGCTTTGTCAGTCTTGCTAGGGAGCAATTGAAATGTGTGTGTGTGGCGAAGAAGCAGAATTAGTGGATTAGTAAAGAACTAACCCAATAAAATACCCTAATACTGACTGGCATGCAATAAATGACTTCTGTTCTATAGATTTGGTGAACTAGCCTCATTTTGTATCTCAATTTTTTCTCAACAAGAACTTCAAACTGAGAAATCACTGATTTGAAGAAATGTCAAAAAGAAAAAAAAAGAAAAGAAATAAAAAAAAAAAAAAACAGGGCTCTTTGAAATAATTATTTTCTATCACAAAATGTTTCAGGAAATCCCAGATATATTAAAGTGTGTATTTCAAATTATGAGAGCAAGTTAAGTATGTAAAGAATGAAAATAAGTGAATTTTTAAATTGCTTAGAGTCCCTAAATATGTAGAGTACTAATACATCAATTATATGGCGCTAACTAAATCATTTTGATAGAAGCTGGATAGCAATTATGATATCTTTTTCTTAATTATGAATTATTCACTGTACTAAGATTAAAATCCAAGAACTTTATAGGAAATAAAATCATTTAAAAAGCATGAAAAAAACAACTTAGATCCAAGCATATATCATTTATTAGAAAACCACTAGAAGTGAAGTCTAAAACTCTCTCTTTCCTTCCAAATTACAAGAAACTCACTATGCATATTTTAAATATTTCAAAATAGTTTTACACTTAAATTCATTGCTGATGAATTTATAAACATATTTTGTAATAATTTACAATTTTGGTGACAGGGATTTTTTTATTAGTCTATATTTCATTACTTCTATATATATGGTAACAAAATGATTTTCAGACTTATTCTAGCCATAGTCTGGGGAGCAGCACAATGAACATTTTCTGTTCCAACAGTTCTGGCTTTAGTAAAACCTAGAAAACTCATCATGAAAACTTAAGATTCTACTAAACACAAAGGAATACTGTTAAATTTATATACATCTTGAAATAATTCATTAAGTCCTCTCATCCACTACATATACAGATAAAACAATATACTTTAAAAAGTTATGAAGAGGCACTTAAGCTGAAGTGCTCCCTCCCTTATCCCCCTAAATCAAAGTAAGCCAAAAGAAACCTTATTTTTTTCTAAGGAAAACCTGTTCGTAGCCAATCCTTCTAACAGAAGGGTCCTTAAGTATTCAATACATACTAATATCTTTTCACAATTTATGTAGTATCATTTGGATTAGAGTTTCCTTTAAGGGAGTCCAGAAACTGATGGACAATCATAGGACTGTCATATTCTAACTACAGTAAAAAAAAAAAAAAAAAAAAATGTTCAGTGCTTACTTTATACCAGGTGTAATAAGAAATTTTGAGCAACCGAGAATAAATTCAGTGAAGATGTTTTTAAAAGAATGTCAATTAACTTTAAATGGAAGCTGCCTCCCCTTAAAACTGCTGCCAGGAACAAAGAAAACAATTGGTGCTTGTTTCACCCACTCTGTGTCCCTATCTTTTCTGAAGGAAGAAGCAAACAAGAGAATGTAAGGCATTTCAAATGAAACACAGTAATCCCAAAGAACAGAGTAAAATAGGAACAGGTGCGGAATGCAAGACAAATAAATGTCCAAAACATTGAAAATTTATATTCATACCATTCAGAAAATTCTAATTTTCAACAAATTCTACTACTTTAATCTTCTAGACCAGTCACCTCATTAGTAAATTATGCTGTAATTCATTCTATATTAACAACATAATAAGGTTAAATTTTCATAGTTATAAAATAGGGATAGGAAATGCTGTTGTAACCTTTAAAAAGTCTTATTTCTAAGACTATGTATTTCACTAAGTGAGGAAAGGCAAGTGTACAAAGAAATAAACATTTTCTGTACAGTTTTGTCTTTACTGATAGTGTTTAATCCCTTTTAAAATTCCAACTATCTTTAAAACATGAACTTTCCAGAATAGGAACTAACAATCTTAAGCGGTTTTCCAAAGAGTTTCTACAACCACTAACTTAAAATGTTAGAATTTACATTATTTGGAAAAACACATGAAAGAATTTGTTTTTGGAAAGAATGCAAAAACTGGTTTGAAAGGGGTTTATTTGTGATGCACACAATTTCTTCATGGTGAATACACATGTGATTCTCTATACAGGAGAAATGGAATTATGTTTGAAACAAACAATTTGTGGCTACTAAAAATTATGACTACAGAAAATAAATCAACACTGTAAAACTAAGTAAATACTATTAATTTCACTAGTTAGTAGGTGTAAAGGAAAAGGCAGCACACTACAATAAAACCAAAAATATAACATGCATTCCTCAATGAGGAATAGGACACAGGTATTTTTCTCTTTTGTATTTTTTTTTTAACTGTGGGTATTAAATTTCCCACAAAAATGAGGTTCTGAATCCAGTATAGTAAGCAGGCACCATGCAAAATCTGCCCAGTTTTGCCTATCAATCTTAATTACAACCTACAAAATAGTGCCTGGGATGGTAAGACCCATCTCAAGTATGAAGAACACATCAAGTTAACAAACTAATGGTTTTCTCAACAGTATTTCTGTGTAAAAAGATTAAGATACAACATTAGTTCAATTAGACTGGTTACTAAACATTTACATTGAGAGGTAAAAATGTACTTTCTTAAAGACTAGTAGTCTCATTAGTTGAATACAATTTATGCAGTGCAAATTTTCTATATGCACACGTGTACACATGTAAATATGTTTAGAATGCAGACACAGGACATTTTTTTTCATGCTTATGACCTGACGTCAACAGGTCCACTCATGTTACCTGGCTGTCTATCTTCTGCCTGACCCCTGAAACGACGCCTGCGGCTACGATTGCGTCGCTGGGTTTTTTTTTCACTATCATCTGCAATTGCAAAATTTACCATGAACTATTCTGACAAAAAAAAAAGCAAACAAAAAAAGTATTTCTTTCCTTATTTAAAGAAGGGGAAGAGAAAATTTTAATTAAACATCAAAGATAGAACAATATTGACAGGATAAACATTATACAGTTCAAAGCAACCCAAGGAGACTGAAGACGGGATTATCCCCTGGAAATTAAAAAAAAAGTTTTGACACCTAATAAAATTAACCCTTGAACTTAAATTACCATCATTTAAAGTTCTCCACTGCAACAGGGGGTTTAGTATTTACCAATATTAATCACATTTTAGCCATTCAAAAATTAATTATGATTCTTGATATATAAACCTTTACTAGTGCCATTTATAATAATTTTAAGAAGACAAGCTGAAAGTTTGACTTTGATTTTGGTTTGGAAACCGTAGGAGCAGTTGGAATACTTGTATTGACTTAATGGCATTAAAGGGCACTTTAATAATAAAGCTCCCAGTTTCAAATACCTATGATAAATCTGAGAACTAGATACACAAAACAGACTAAAAGCTATATAGCTTGTTTGAAACTCTAGAAAAAGTCATTTAAGAATTGCATATTTTTCAAAAAAATTTGTTAACAATTATTTTACAATTTTATATATGTATGTATATATACATATTTATATATTTATATCTTTTCCCTAAATGCTTACATACCTAGCCCATTTTCATTAACTGAAGCTGTATCAGATTCAGTCATTCCATCCATCAGAACAGCATCTTCATCAGTCCTTCGTCTACGAGACCGCCTACGACGGTTAGTACTGTGATGAGATTCGCTGGCATCAGTGTCTGCAGTTTGATCTGATTCTGTATTATCAAGTAAGCTGTATGGATTGCTGTCTGGATCTTTGAGCACTATATTCATGTCAGAGGCAAGAAATATTTGTTTAAGAGGGCTGCAGTTATGAATGTTTTGATCTACAACAACTAAAGGTAAATAAACTTCAATATCCCCCAATAAAAAACATACTGTCTTCAAATAAAATGTTTTCAGTATCACTGTTTTACCTGGAAGATAACAAGGATGATTAAATAAGAAAAGATTTAAATGAAGATGAAAATTATAAAGCAGAAGTAAGCAGACAGCTTCCTAATATTTCCTTTGACTTTTTAAAAATTGCACATGTATATACAGAAACAAGATTCAACCAACCCGAGATCAAAAATAAGTGGAAAACACTTTTGTCTATACACCAGTATATAATGTATAGACTCTTTTTCCATCACTATTCCCTAAATACAGCAAAATAACTATTCAAATATCATTTACATTGTATCAGATATTACAGATTACCTAAAGATCACTTAATTATGTGGGAAGATGTGCTTTGGTTATATGCACTTTCCCATGTTGTATTATACAATGGGCCTGATCATCCAGATTTTTATTTGTAGGAGAGATCCAAAAAATCTATCCCTCACAGTACTTAGAGATGACTATATTGAGATATAGTGTTATTCTGCCAATTCTGACATTGACATTCCAAGGTAATCCTACCCCTTGAGAAATAAAAATGAAATAAAATACAAATTCAGCTAATATACATTACTTCTGAGAGCTCTTATACCATTTATGGACTTCCTTTGATGTCATGCTAATGCATATATATAAATAACATTCAGCACCTGTACTTCATGATGTAACAAGAATCTATTAATTACAAACTAATCAAAACAAGTCCACACAAAACATCAAATTAAGGTTGAAATTCTAACAAGTTATGGAAACAAATGTTGACTTATATTCTAACTCTAGGAATGAAACAAGAAGGTGGTGTGAGAGTGGAAAAGTTAAAACTTTGAAGATATAATTCAAAAGAAAATTACCCATCTTACCTATGAGCATTTACTGCCTCCAACAAGCAAATTATAGAAGAAATTCACCTAAGTCATGATTTTTCCTAAGCTTCCTTTCATAACAGCTAAGGAGCATCCTTGCAAAAGACACTAAATCTTATCTACTAACTATAAACACTAGGTAAAGTGCATTTATTTTACAATTTGGCTTACAATAATTTTAAAGCACCTGGTAACAGTGCACAATGTATTAAAATATAAAAACTATCTTCCTGAAAGCCTATAAAACTAAAGTTAGGGTTCAATGAAGATTACAGTGGAATCAGAAAGAACCTGGAACAGCTGCCATAATTTTGTTACTAATTTGTTCTAGTTTTTATAATTTGTAAGCATACTTAACATATACTGAATGTATATACACATTACTTCCATAATAAAATACTACATAAGCTTAATAGATACAACATTTAAAAAATATTTACTTAAATGGCTATACAAATATACTAATTATCCTTGAAATAACCTAGTCCACATATCCCTGGCAAATCTTTTCTCCAACCCAATCTGCTCATAAAGAACATTATTGGCAACACCTCTACTCCATAAAACTTTTAAAAGCATTAAATTTTTTTTGAGTAAAAAGTTGTTTTATACACCTCAATCTTTAGTCATCTATGCACTCCTCGTCACAACTGTTTCTCAAAATAGAACTGATGTCACAATTTTGCTGTTTCCAAAACAGTACATATTATAGCAGAGAATGCTTTTCAGTTAGTTTTCAATATTAAAATATACAGAAGTATTTATAATTCTGTCCATCAGAATTTTCTGGATCTGGCAAACAATTAAATAACTCAAAACACCTACAGAAAACAAGAAAAACATTCCAATTACACTCTCTGCCACCCAGCTAGCAATAAACATCTAACCCCAAAAAAGGAAAGTCAGTCCAACTGAAAAGTTATGACCTGAGTACTTTAAGTAAACCTTCACTGAAAAATACTCTACAGGACCTTTCTGCTATATGGTCTACTATTTTCCATAAGACAGTGAGTAGAAACAAATTTCCAAGAATGTGTGGTCCTGGGAAATAAATTGGCTTTTGTAGGATTATATAGTTTACAAAGAATGGATGCGGACAAAGTATATCTGACATAGTATATAAAAGACTACCAGAACTGATGGAGGATTTGCCACCACGTGGTCCACCACGACCTCGACCCCCTGAAACACTTCTGCCTCTTCCTCCTGGGCGTCTCCTGCTGTCACGCTGATGTCTGCTCTCCCGATCATCCTCTCCTGCCAATGACCAATCGCTCAGCTCATCTTTACGCTCGGATTCTGTTTCAGAGGGGTTAGACAGCTCAGAATTTGTACCTTGGGAAAGAAAAGTACACAAACCATTTGAGAATTCTTTATTTGAAGGGAGAAAAAAGATTCAATTTTTTTCAAAACTGTTCCCTACAAAGTATCATTTAAATAAGCACAGTAATTGTCTGATTCAAAGAAAGCCAACTGCATGTGATGTTTATTAATTAATGACATTTATACTTTACTAATAGCATAATATGGACTAGTCAAGACAAATTATAAAATGAATTGTTTTGATGTATAGAAACAGCTAATAGAACAATTTAGAAAAAACACATTATTAAAATATACTTAAGGACTGGGGTTGTGGCTCAGTGGTAGAACACTTGCCTAGCATGTATGAGACACTGGGTTCAATCCTCAGCACCATGTAAATAAATTAAGATACTATGTCCATTTACAACAAAATATTTTTAAATATATATACATATATATATGAACAGTGTTAAAGTTTCTGCCCATTGAGGTTTTACTAACCTAAATTGCTGGAAATATATTTTTCAGTGACTGTACATAAGTAATACCATGTTTTAGTACCATCTCAAATTAGAATGAGGTATCTTTTTTTAAAAAAATCACTAAACAAATTTTAAAGTTTATGAAAAGATAGCTCTCAACAACCAATGTAACCAAAGACACGAACAGTGAGATGGAAATTCATGATTTTAAAAGTTTACCAACAGTTTATTTAATGGTGACCTTCAAACTGCAAAAATTTCTACACTATCATTATCATCATACTGAAATTAAATAATCAGATATATAGACTCTACTGCTACAATACTCATTCACAATTTTCTCTGTGGGTGTGCGCGCACAATTTGTTGGGAATTGAACAAGGGATGCTTTATCACTGAGCTATATCATCAATCCTTTTTATTAATTTTTATGGTCTTGTGAAGTTGCTTAGGGCCTAAGTTGATGAAGCTACCCAACTTGCCAGGCTCCTACCTGGACCTCCTGAGTTGCTGGGATTACAGGCATGCAACACCATGCCCACCCATTTCCATTCTTTTGTAGTTCTGACATGCCATATTCTTCTTCGCATATATCCAAATCTGTCTCCTTCAGAGACTAGGTCAATTTCGAGCTTCAGACCAATTTAACTGAAAACACTCTCTTCCTTACTCTTATTTCCATAGAAAGACTGTGTATTAATCATGCATTGTGTCAAGAGTAGTTCTCTACTTTCCTTTGCCTTCACCCCAAAATTACTTTAAAGCTAGTCTACATAAAAGGTAGAACTCCATCTTTTATTTCTAAATGGCCCAAAAAGCTTAAGTAAATTTTTTCATGCCTCTGAAGTTCATTTGCTCAACTCGCAAGTAAGATTTCACAAAGTACCTTAATGCTGCTTGAAATTTCTAGTCATTTGATAATAAAAGCAAAACACGAGAGCACTTTAGACACAAAAAGTAACAAGGGACAGTGAATGAAAAATAAAGTTTAATAATAAGTCTACCACTTTCTTTCTGCTTTAAAGATAACTCAGCAATGCTTCCCTTTTCTCTTCATGTACTATTAAAATATGGGTATAACTGGTCAATTATAGAAGACTGGGTTAAAAGTTATTAGCTGAAATTACACTTTAGGAAAAAAAATACATCAAGTTTCTATTATTTGCTCTCAAGTCTTTCTCTGTAATGAGAATCTCATGAAAGAAAATGAATCTCCCTTAACACTTATAGAAAATAGGTGGAGAACCAGATGGAAGGAAAAAAACATTTAAGGATGTCATCAATGTTGGAAATGAAGTCAAGTTACCATTTCAGGAATAGTGAAAAAAGCCTAAAGTATATAAACCTCAAATTTATTTATAAATCTATATATTGTCTGAAAATATTACCTAAATTTGAAGGGAAAAAATAACATTCTTATTTATGAAGCCCAGGGTCACAAGCAAGGAGTTTTTTTCCTTAAATTTAACCTAAAATCTAAGTATTAATTTCAGTAGGTACAAACTGAGGTCAAAAAGGCTAAATGGCTAGTGCTCAGCTTTATTCATATTTAAACACTCAAAAGCTATGATTGGACTTTGCAAATGTGACAAAGTAAGGACCACAAGAGAGAAGGCTGTCTAGGATTGGGGAAAAAGCTTTAAAAATAAAGAACCTTTCTAGCTTGAAAGAAAAATGGTAGCTTTAGAATTCTCCATAATTATTATGATGTGTGAGTGTGGGGGCTGCAATGATGAGGAAATGAACTAAGGGGTACCTTACCCCTGCACTACATCCCCAGATCTTTTTATTTATTATTTTGAGAAAAGATATAACAAGTTGCTTACGTTTTCGCTAAGTTACTGGTTAATGTTTTTTTTACATGCAGGAAGAATGGCCAAAAATTAAGAAATAGGGGTGGTCTCTAGAAGTTGGAAATGTTAAAGGAACAGATTCCTTCCTAGAGCCTCCAAAAAGGAATATAACCCAGCTGTCACTTAAAAATTTTAATGTTAGCCCAGGAGAACTAGGTCAGATTTCTGAAAGTGTATTTTAAGATAATAAACTTGTATTGTTAAAACCACTAAGTATACAATAAATTACTGCAGTAGCAACAGGAAATAAATAACACTATTAGAATCACTACAATCATTCCAACCTCTCTGTTTTATAAAATTATAAATCATGATTTTTTTAAAAAAAGGTTTTTGACACCGCTCCAATTTCTAGTGATTTCAACAAATAAACACAACTTCTTGCCTCTAACCACATTTGAAGTCAGACTTCCCCCTTCTAAAACTCCTTTAACAAACAAAAAAAACACCTTATCAAAGTGCTCCACATCCATCACTTCATGGTTTTAAGTGCTAAACTAAAAACACTATATTTCATCAAATCCAAGATGTCATCTATTAAAAGATATATTTTGTGCCACTAAAACAGAAAGTGATCAATTTCGATGTCATTCAAGGTAAGGCACCTAATAACTTCAGTGATGCCACACTAACAATTTTTCTTATAGACTCAACAAATATTATGAATTAAAAATCCTTTTGAAATGAAATATTCAAGAATATCTGGCTTTTACTCCTCAAGCTAACTCAATTTCAATAGCTATTTCAAGAAATACAATATTACGAGTTTTGTAAAGATTCAGAAGACTGCCATCTGCTGAAGAATTTGCATAGCTTTCTCCAATTCATAAATAATCTACTTTCCAAAAGAACATTTTACTAATGAGGGAATGCTCATCAATAAACCTCTCACAGAGACTAATAAATTTCTTCAATGAAGTCATCATACTCATGATCCAAAAAGCTAAAATGATATATATCCATGTTGGTAATTTATATTTCAAAAATCAATCAGAATATATGCAATTCTATGTAATTATTTATATTATTTTTCATATTAAGCATGCTTTCAGGTATACAGTAATCATTTCCAATGCCCAGTTGTTTGCATGTTAAAACAATTCCACACTTTACTGAAATTTTGTTTTTAAGTTTTCAATGAGGCTTTACCAAAATAAAATACATCAGGAAAACAAAGCACAGACATATAAGGATATGATGCTAAAGGGAACAAATAAAACTTTTAACTTTCCGATTCTACACAAATGAAACAGTGTAAGTTCAATATGACCCTAGCATCATTATATTCTTTAAACATGAAATTTAAATTTGCAATGTGCACAATGAAAATTTGTACTTATTGATATTTTCCATAAATTCCTGGTATTTTGAAAAACGTTTATAAAATATTTCTCACAACAAGAAGAGCACAGAGAATGGAGAAGAGAGAAAAGAAAGAAAACTGGGTTGGGGAGGAGGAGAGAGGAGAATCAGGTAACTGCTAAGATCCAAGTCCAAATGAAGAAAAATGGAACAACACCAAAGCTGAAGAAGAATAAATGAAAATTTAGGATTAGAGAATTGTTAACTATTACCACTCCACTGGCCCCTTTCTGCTTAGATTAGGCCCCATCCTCAAAATGAAATACATTTTATAAAAATATTAATTATGCTCATTTAAACAAAGACTTCATTTTAATAAAATGTTATAAAACTATTTCCACATGCAAAATATTTATATTCAAATCTGCCAATAAAATCAATGGAGGGAGGGGGGAGGAAGGTGGGGAGAAAGACAGAAAGACACACAGACCGACCGTGTGCACACACAAACACATGCATATTTGTCCGTCTCTGGGGGTGGGGGATATAGTGGGATTGACCAGGGTCTCAAACATGCTAGGCAAGTATTCTACCACTAAGCCACACCCAAGTTTAGTTTTTTGTTTGGTGGAGACAACTGCCCTGGTTGGCCTCGAAATTGAGATCCTCTGGCCTCAGACTCTAGAGTTATTGAGATTGCAGGTGTTCATCACCACACCTGACACTGAATTATATTCTAAAAGCTATTAGAGATTTATTATATGCCATCTTGGTCTAGTAATTAGAATATTTTCATTTTTACTTGGAGGATTGGTTGGCAAAAGAGGATTCCTAGCACTAAGTTTTTGGTGGGAAATTAAACTGTACTAGGGAAATATTAGGAAACAGTTTGATATGTATTCATCTAAGTATTTAAAAATCAGGAAAAATAAAATAAAAATCAGGATTATAAACTACCACCTTAAAAATATGCTTAATTTAATTACATAACTGCTTGGAACTACATACCTTTTGCTACCATTAATATAAAGTATACTGTAACTATTAAGACATATACCTCAGAACTACATTTCATCCTCAAAAACCAAGTTAAGAGTGATGAACTAATTATAAACAAAATGTGTTGGAGCACCTAAATTAGATAGAAATACAAAAATAAAAAATGCTTTTTACCATAACCGGAGGTGTAATTAGGGCCCCGACGACCTCTGCCTCTTCCACTATAAGACCTAGAACCTTGTACAGAAGAGACGGTACTTTCATCAGTGGCATATCCTTTCTCTTTTTCAGGCCCTCTGGTGGAAGAAGGTCTGAAACCCATACCAATCTGTCGAAGCTGTTCATCAATCTGTAGGCGTTCCATTCTTAGCTGCTCGACTTCCTATAATCAAAACAAAGGGACAAGTCTTCTTATATATATAGTTTTGTCTTCTTAAAGCCTAGAGCTAGAACTGTGTCCTCTACCAAAGAATCTGTGACCTTAACCAATTATTTGATAAATCAGTATTATGTTCATAGTAAACACAATTAACAAGGTCATCTGCTAATTTCCTTCAAACATTTACTGACTGTCTATACTAAGACCAACCACACTGCTATTCTAAAGGAAGATATGAAACTCTTTCCCCTCCGGTGGGAAGATGGATATTGACAGTGTTAAACTTGCTTATATAATAAATAGCTATTAGACAATATTACCAGATATTGTGCTTGTGTACTTAAAATATTACTAAATGAATGGAATTATTATTTACAAAGTTACTTTCCTATCAAAGTAGTAACACATGAGTCAGGACCTAGGGTGGACTAGCAAGACTTGATCATTCAGAAACTGAAGTTACTGCAGGATGTAAAAGCAAAATATCTAGCAAGATAAAGTTCTTGCAGAAGAGCGCACAGGCGCCCACACGCTGTCTCTTTCTCTCTAATGATGTCTATGAGGATAGTATAGCTGATTTCAAAGTTACCAAGGAAGCCTAACTTCATTTCTGATTCTATACTCTATTTGCATATATAAAATTAAAAACAAAATGATCCAATATAAAGCATGCAGATGCATAAAGTGACAAGTTCTTATAAACATTAGAAGTGACCATTTCTTAAAAAAATAAGCAAAGACTGTAATGTTTTGAACAACCAATAAAATAAATAAATAAATAAATAAGCAAGCAAGCAAAGAAATTTAAAAGCTCAGAAGAGGGAAAGCAATGCACATAAAGCCATTTTATTATGGAGAAGGTATTTTTATTCTTAAATTCTCATGTAACAAAATCTGAGCAACACTAATGGTGAATTAAAAACATCTAAAGACTTGAAACAGTATAAAGAAATAGAAAACGTTTAATGTGCAGATGTTATATTTGTTTACAGTAAAGACACATTTGCATACTAAATGCAGCAAAGATATATATAAAAATATAATATGAGCAAATATACAAACCTTGAGATAAGCAATATGATATTCTAAAAGGACTTGTACATTTCCAATGCTTTCTTTAGTGCCAACAAATACAAATGGAACCATACCCTGTTAAAAAAAAATAAAAAGGAAAAAAAATATCCTCAGTATGTAATATTTAAAGAAAATCTGAATTTTTCAAAGAAAAACAATTTCTTCAACTTTTCAAAAATACACAGCAATTTACATCCATCTACTAAATGTCAACATTTGTGGGTACCATGGCAAAAAAAAATCATAATTTGAAATATTCAAGATTTTCAACACCTTGTTATTTTGTTATAATTCAGCATGTATGTGCTAAGAATTTAAGAAATTACTTTTTAAAAAATCATGTCAGGTTCTGAGTTCTAATTTAATCTGATTTTCTAACTATCCCTTTTATATTAAGCTAAATATCTGACATCAATCTGACCATGAACTTTCACACCAGACAGAGAATGAATGTAAGCATAAAATGTTTATAAAGTAGCTGGATGGGGTGGCATATTCATGTAATCCCAGCTACTTGGAAACTGAAAAAACAGGATACCAAATTCATGGCCAGTCTGAGCAAATTTATGAGACCATTTCAAAATAAAACATAAAAAGGACTGAGGGTAGCTGGGCTCAGTGGTTCCAGCCTGTAATCCCAGCAGCTCGGGAGGCGGGAGGCAGAGGCAAGAGAATCTCAAATACAAACCCAGCTTCAGTAAATAAGCAACTCAGCAAGATCACATCTCTAAAAAAGGACTGAAGATGTAACTCAAGGGTAGAAGTCCTTGGGTTCAATCTCAATCTCTCTCCCTATTTCTTTCTCTTTCTCTTTTTGGTGGCTGGGTTAATGGGGGACTGAACTTAGTTACAGACACTCAACCACTGAGTCCCACTCTCAGCCCTATTTTGTGTTTTATTTAAAGACAGGGTCTCACTGAGTTGCTTAGTGCCTCACTTTTGCTGAGGCTGGCTTTGAACTCAAGATCCTCCTATGTCCACCTCCAGAGAAGCTGGGATTATAAATGTGCAACATAGGCCCCTGGGTTTAATCTCCAATACAAAAAACAAATAAAACACACTGGTTGAAAATTGTAAAAGTGTTATAATGATTACTCATATGACTTTTAAAATCCACTGATAGTCAGAATTAGAGGAAAACAAGCACTATAGTAGATAAAACTATTGGGACGTTAAGGAAAGGGGATCCAAAATTCAAAGGCAAACTTTCTCTGTGGGATCCGAAGCAATTTAGCAAGACCCTATATCAAAAAATAAACAAACAGAAATAAACAGATATAAAAGTGATAAGGATGTGGCTAAGTAGTTAAACACTCCTGGAATAAATACCAGATTAAAAAAAGAAAGAAAGAAAAAGGAGACAGACAAAACTAAGTAGAGTTTTGTATTTGTTCATTAATGCAAAACTGATCTCAGGGCTATTTTACCAGTGAGCTACATTCTCAGTCTTTTTTTTTTTTTTTTAACTTTTATTTCTTGACAATATCTCACTAAACTGTATAGGATGCTGTTTGGGTGGGTAGGATAACAATAAGGTGGGGTTTTTTTGTTGTTGTTGTTGTTTTTAATTGCTGCTGGGATTGAACTCAGAGAATACTCCCATCCAAAAGATGCTCCACCACCAAGGCACTGGGAATATTATAGGGATATGCCTCTGTCCCTATCATTGAAAGATATTTGTGGGGGTGATGCTGAACCTTACATGATGTACAGTATGAAAATGAGTTTAAAAATTTGACCAACTTGTCCCTAATAGCATGTGCTCAGATAAGCTCTTCAGGTATCAGCATATTACAGGAAGGGATTCCTGACATTAAGAATGTATAACTTAGGGCTGGGGTGGTAGCTCAGTTCTTGCTTTGCATGCATGAGGCACTGAGTTAGATCCTCAGCACCACATAAAAATAAATAAAGATATTGTGTCCATGTACAATTAAATTATTTAGGAAAAAAAAGAATATATTACCTACAGAGTGTAAATACTTACACAATGTATAAACAAAAAAATTACTATTAAAAACAGGTTCTTTTATCAACCACTGAATTAATTCCTTTCTATTTTGCACTTTCCAGGATGTCAAAATTGGAATAAAAAATCTTTTTCACTTTAAATAAATAAATAAATAGCAGCTGGGCATGATGGTGGTGCATGCCTATAATCCCCGTGGCTCAATGAGGCAGGAGGATCGTTGAGTTTAAAGTGAGCCTCAGCAACCTGGAAGGCTCTAAGCAATTCAGCAAGACCCTGTGCTTCTAAATAATACAAAAAAGGGCTGAGGATGTGGCTCAGTGGTTGATGGCCACTGGGTTCAATACCTGATACCAAAAAACACAACAAGAAAGAGTCTGACAGACACACATGCCTGTAATTCTAGTAGCTCAGGAGGCTAAGACAGGAGAATTCAAAGTTCACAGCCAGTCTCTGCAACAGTGAGGCGCTACGCAACTCCATGAGACCCTGTCCCTAAATAAAATACAAAAAGGGACTGGGAATTTGGCTTATTGGCAGATTAGACTCAGTGTCCCTGAGTCTAATCCCTGGTAAGAGGGGAAAAAAAAGATACTTAATCCCAGATATTAAACTGAACCCAAGGACTAACCCAGGCTTTTGTTTATGAGGCTGAATTTCAGAACAGAAAGATTTTTAAAAAATAACAGAGAAGAGAAATAAATTTGGGGATTAAAAACTTTCTTCTTAAAAAAAAAAATGCACTTAACTGGGCATGGTAATCCCAAATCCTGGTAATCCCTCAGCAATTTAGACAAAAAATCCTGGTGAGACTGTCTCAAAAATTAAAGCGGGGGAGAACTAGGTATATAGCTTATTTCTAAAGCACCCCTGAGTTCAATCCCCATTACCAAAAAGAAATAAAAAATATATTAAATGCCCAATTATACCAATAAGCATTATTACTATGGTATATAAGCAGGGGACAAGTAGGGCTTCACAGTAAACTAGTTATAAACTGAGTCTCCAGTTTAAAAATGTTAACTTATAAAATGGTTATCCCTGATAACAACATTCAAATTTCATTTTAAAAATAACAATGTTGTATATCATATATTTCCTCCTCCTCCTAAAAATATCAGAAGGCTAGAGTGCTAGACAGATAGGTAACTCATTGGCAGCATGCTTGCCTGGCATGCATAAATTCTCTGAAATTCCCACAATTTTTTTTAAAAAGCCATATTGTTAACTAGGTATGTAGTTCAGTGATAAAGGACTTGCCTAACACCTAGAAAGCCCAGGGTTCAATTCCCAGGACTGCAAAAATTTTTAAAGAATATATAAAAACATCAGAAGTTACAAATCATGCATTCCAACACCATAACCAGGCTGGATCTTAGCACCATAAGCTTCTAATACAAAAAGGCATTTCCTCATCCATACCTATTTTATACATCCCAACTGTTTAATCATGTACAATGATTAACTGTAATCCCAGCAACACGGGAGAATGAGGCAGGAATATCCCAAGTTCAAGGCCAGCAACTTAGTGAGACCCTGTCTCAAAGATAAAAAAATAAAAAGGACTGGGGATGTAGCTCAATGGTAAAGGTCCCCTGGATTCAATCCCCAGTACTAATTGGACAGATTCTATCCGACAGTTAACAACCACCCCAAATAGTACTCTATTGTGTAAAACTAAGAAGCTATAAGCGTATTCTTTCTGGGAAATAATTTTGGAGAAAATCCTTAGTTTATATTCAGGGATACCAAGGCTTAAGTCAAGTGTATAAGTTTGGCCATTGAATCTACAAATATGAAGTAATGTACAAAAGAGTCAACAACAATTGTGGGAAAAAAATCACCATGTGAGAAGACAGATGGAAAAAGAAATTTCAGAAAGATGGTATCAGAATTAATAACAACATAAAAGCATGAAAAATTCAATTAAAAATGATGAACACTTTCAGGTTCTACAAAAAGAACAAGGAGAATGTGACCAAAAATTCCTTTACAACACACTGTTTTGTTGAGAATCAAATTCTATAACTTTGCACCCTAAGAATAAAAAAGAGGGCTGAGGATGTGGCTTAGTGGTAGACTGCTTGCCTCCCTTATGTAAAGACTCCAGGTTCAATCCCTAGCACCAACAAAAAAAACGAACAAAACAATAAAAAACATAAAACTTAATATGATCCAACTAAAATGTTTGTATTAATAAATGGCTTAAAAAAAAAAGTATTGGGCTGGGGTTGTGGCTCAGGGATAAAGCACTTGCCTAGCATGTGTGAGGCACTAGGTTCGATTCTCAGCACCACATATAAATTAATGAAATAAAGGTCCATCAAAAACTAAAAAAAATTTTTTTAAAAATAGTATTGACAAACCCAAGGCTCATATAATCAGTGATGTAACTAGAGTTAAGTAGCTCAACAGATGTAACTTGTTTCCATAATGATTTTCAAAATATAACATGCTAAGTCATCCAAGAAAAGAACATGAATACAACTGTACTTACATCTTCTCTAGGTAGTTTATTTTCATTATCTCCTTCAATTCTCACCCGAACCACACCAGATTTGTCCACTATTTCTTGAATAACTTTGCCATTTTTTCCAATTACCTTTCCTTTAGTAAGACAAAACAAATACAAGTTAAAAAACATTTGATATCCATTTAACATCAGCCCAAGTAACATCTAACTTGCTATCAAATTTTCACCAACAAGATCCATCTTTCTACCTTCAACTAACTCACCTACAGACTACCAACAAATTTTATCCTCGCTCTGAAATTTCTTTCTCTTCAGTATGCCAATGCATTTTAACTGAGATTGACAATGCTGGTCATGCGTAAGCAATTTTCAGACTTTTTAAAATAATATGATTTTTCACTCTCAAAAATATCAATCAACTCTAACCCATTTCAAAACTTACATAAAAGCAAAGAGAAAACTATTTTAATTTGGCATTAAGCATATTAGTTTGTTCAAAACTATCAAATTATGAAATTTTGCCTTTATTTTTAAGGTTGTTTGTCCACAACATAGCTGCCTCGAATATCGCTTTAAAATGAACATTCTCTTCCATAAAATATTCACATTTAACAAGTACTACATTTTAAATCGAGTACTTCATAGTTTTAATATAAAAATACATAACATGTATACAATATTCCTGCTACCTTGCTAGGTATGAAATATAGTAAAATGACATAAAATTCAAATTATTTACCTTTTCCATAGTTGACTTATCATTATCAGTCTGTCAACCAGCAATTATTGAACATACAATAATGACATGAGAAACACAAAGGGGGATGTGAAGACTCCTTCCCCAAGAACTTACTATCTAGTTATAAAGATTAACACAAAAAAATAATAATAATAATAAAGCAACACCAGGTAGTACTACCTAGTAAAAAGTAAATATTTTGGTAACCTTCACTATATGGAACAGATGTATATCCCATATAAAGTTAAGAGCAACCCCATATTTTTTAATCAAGTGCACATCCCCATTTATATTTTTTAACAATTTATTTTCACAAAAAATCTTAGCTGCATTTTGGTAGAAAGAAGTTAAAATGTTAAGTTTTCCCATTGCATCCTTGAAAGAACAATTTCCACTGAAGAACAAATGAGGAACAATGAAAACAAACTGGTCAACACAGGAAAAGCTTAACTATAATGGATTTTCTCGCTCTTTTCCCTACTCTTAACTTTCTTCCCTGTAACCCTAAAATTAAAAGCAGCAGCAACAGAATAAAAAAAAAGTGAGAGAGAGAGAGAGAGAGGGAATAGGATAGGGAATTCACATGATGTAAGTCTTCAGAGAAGCCCTAGCAGCAGCACATAAAAGCAACCTTCATGTTAACACAGTGAGGCTCAAGCAGCAACTTCATCCTTGACCCTGCTAAAAATAAGCAAATTATCTATTCGAAAAACAAAAACCAGGTTAAAAGAACATTATCCCTCCCCCCAGAATCACAATCTTTGTTCTTCCTTCTTATGAATTATACCAGTGGTGAGTAAACATCCATCATTCTTCTGGGGTCCTTGGCAGGGACCTACCTGCAAGTTTTATATAGTCCCACCAGAGACTGACAATATTTTAAATGATCATTTCCATAATATAATTCCAGAGCAAATTGACAAACTGAAGCAGACCTATAGTATAAATTTAGCATTGAATATAAATGTTCAAAGGGATAGAGTAAAGTGATTAAAGGAAGGCTTCTAAGAAGTAAAGGGCTTTCGGTCCAATATGGACACAGTATTTTGTTTTGACTTAGGAACTGGGGGTAGGGGGAGTCAAATTCTAGAATTCTGAGAACCTAAATGGGTAAAGGAATCCTCTCTGGAACTTATCCACCAAGTGGTCCTCAATCTCGTTTATCAATCAGTCCTCTTTTTCTATTTACTTGGACAAAGAATGCACTATTTTTTTTTTCAAAGAATGCACTGTTTTTTCAAGACTGTTTCACCCATGAAATACTTGAGGGAATGATAGTAGTATTATTATACATGACAACCAACAGAAATGTTTATACTATTCTTCAGTGTTTCACCAACGGAAACAAATGCAAATCCCCATTTGCACTTCCTGTGAAGGAAGTTGTAATTAATATGTATGTCCTTAAGAGAACACAATCTATACATAACTGGAGCTAACCAAGACAGGATAGGGGAAGAAAACAGAGACATAATAAACTAACGTAACTTTATTGATATATGAATAAAGAAAAGAATTAGAGCATCACAAATATATCCCATTTCCTTATTTTTGAAATACTAGGAATTTATATTCATAATTACCAATACCACAAACTTTATTGGACCAAGACTATCTCAGAATTGAACTGGGGGGAAAAAAACTGATTCCCTTTCCCAACCCCTACCATTAATTTGTTTTTACAAATGAGAAAACCTTACTATAGTTAAATCATCATGTCTTACAAAGAAGCTATCATAATGTTAGCACCCAAAAATACCAATAATTTCATGATTTAGTGTGATTTAAATGACTAAAAAAGTACGTAAGTTTTTCAAAAGCAGTTTGCCAGGGTGATTTCATTCAACAATTATCATTTGATAACATTTTGTATCAATATTTATTAAAATTATACAAAGTTCTTCAAGCTTTTATTCAATTTTAGTATCTCATCTCTCCAGCTTTTCAGTCTTTATTAACCAATGATACTCCAAGAATTGCTTAAGCAGAGCTTATCAAGTGGCATTATGACATACCTATTTCAAATGTTTGACATTAAGCAGAATTAAGAATCTTCTTACATAACTAATTGTTGAAACAAAAAACAAATTCTATGTTATAAACTATTTTTCTGCAGTATATTGGTTCTTGAGTAAGTATAATGGACAAAAATAACATTTAAGAATGAAAGTGTTTTAAAATTCTTACTATTTTTGATTGTACTACAGAAATTAACAAAACAACTAGAGCTAAGAAATTCCTAATGACTGAATGGAGTCATGTAAACAGAGCACAAAAGGCTAAAACTAATAGTTATGCTCAAAAGTATAGAGACAATGAAGAAATAAAACATTTCCTTACCACTAAATTATTCCACATTATGTTGGTGCTTCATTTTACATTATTTAGGAAAATCCCTAAGTACTTAACACATAACCAAATCCATCCCATTTGCCATAAAATGGCACTTAAAAAGACATAGCGAAGACAAATGACATATTATTAATCACAGCCATTAACTAACTTCCCCCTGAACTACACTGCTAATTTATCCATAACTTTAAACCCAAATATTTTGTCACTTTAACTTATAAACCATGGGTAAAATGATTTTCATTAAAGGTGATAAGTCCTTAATAGTGAAACCTCCCTTCATATTATCATCACCTTCTTTCTCTCCTGTCCATGACTCAACATATGCCTTTAACATAACTTATTATTAAATTCAGGACCTACTGTGAGTAAGTTTATTACTCTATTCTTATTCCACAGTTACTTTTCTCTTCTGTACTAAACAAAAAAATCAGTCGCAACCAATTCTCAAAAAGTAATGTAACCATTCTGGTGCACATATGAATGATAAAAACACATGAAATCAAGAATAGGAAAGAGCCCCAAGGATGAACAGAAAAACTATTAATGACAAACTGTTAACAAAAATTGTGGGAACTATTATCAGGTCACACTGTAGAGAAAAAAGACATTTTTACTTTTTAACATTTGACAATGACAAGAAACAATCAATAATTAAATAAATTTTGCTATCTAGTTATTCCACATTGCTATAAGTAGAATAATGTAATCAGACTACAAGAATGATTTCAATTAATTCACTATAAGTAATATTTTAACTTTTTAACATTTATTAGAAGTACCTACCAACAAGATTCCTAGGAACCTGAATAAAATCCTCCACAAATTCCAAGAAACCTCTAGCCTTTTTAACAGCATCAGCACTCTAAATGTGGGAAAAATAAAGTTTTGTTAGGGTCTTGAAGCAGCACATAATCCTAAACAAAAATAAGACAAAAAGAAAATTCTGAATTATGCTGTACTAAGAGATTCTGGTGAGGCCAGTGAAGTGTGTAAGTAATTTACACAAAGTACTTAAAAAAAAAAAAAAAACCGATATACTACTAAAACCTAAAAAGGCAAGGCATTTCTAAGGTCCCATTTTACATGCTGACAATATTAACAAAACTTCTATTGTGCAGCTACTAAGCAGCCAAATTTTAACCCAATCCTAAACATACTCACATGATGCATTTCTCCAGGTGTGTGTTTAAAATAATAATGTTTTAATTTTTCTAAGACTCTCTATTTTTTGTTTAGGCTCAACATTAGAAATAATCTTAATGCAGGTATGATGCACACCTGTAATCCTTGTGACTGGGAACGCTGGAGGCAGCAGAATGACAAGGTCAAGGCCAGACTAGTCAACTTATTCAGACCCTGCGCCTCAATATTTAAAGAGATGTAACTCAGTGGCACAGAGCACTACTGGGTTCAATCCCTAGTACCAGGAACAGGGAGGGTATGTGATTTTAAAAGTTTTTGGAGAGACACATTTTTAGAAGTACCTAATAATAAGATTACAAAACCCTCTAAGTTTTTAATGGTGTAATTTTAATAAACTGGAAGGGAAGATGTCTTTAAGAGATTTCACACATTTCAATAAAAGTTACTTCCTCCTTGTCTGGGAATACTAGGAATTGAATCCAGGAGCTTTACCACTGGACTACATGCAAAGCCTCTTCATTTTTTTGAGATACGATCTCATTAAGTTGTTTATAACCTTGCTAAGTTACTAAAACTGGCCTCAAACTTGTAATCCTGCCTCACCCTCCTAAATCCCTAGAATTACAGGTATGCACCTCTATTTTTTGTAGTTACTTCCTCTTTTAATATTTGTTTTTTAATGACCACAGCTCAAATGTATTGTGTGCTCACTCCACCATCAACTATATGCAGTGAGACATAGTGGTGCACATCTACAATCCCATTTACAAGAGACCCTGACACAAAATTAAAAATAAAACTGACTCAAAATGTGGCTTAGGGGTTAAGCCACTTGGATTCAATCCCTGATACCAAACACAATAATAAAATAAAATAAACCATATGAAGCCAGGCATAGTGGGACACACTGGGTAATCCAGGTGACTCAGGAAACTGAGGCAGGATTCCAAGTTCAAGACCAGCCTCAGCAGTTTACCCAAACCCTATTTCAAAATAAAAAGGGCTAGGACGTAGTTCTGTGGTTAAGTGCCACTGGGTTCAATTCCTAGTACCAAAACAAAATTAAACATTAAAAAAAAAAAAAACCCACACACTTAATTCTTTAAAAAAACAGGAATGTAGCACAGTGGTAGAGTGCTTAACTAGCACTGAAGGTCCTGGGCTCAATTCCCAGCAGCACCAAAATAAATTACAAAGGTAAATAGCATTATATATCATCATCATCATCATTTTATAGAGAGACACTTATTCGAGAAACTTAAGTGACTTGTCTTAAGCCCATTCTAAATGGTAAAGACAGGATTCGAACCCACAGAGTATGGCTCTAAAGCCTATCTTCTTAATGACTATGTCACACTATTCATTTTCAAAGATTTCAAAAATAAAAACGAAGCATCTTGACAGAATTATACAAAATGAGCTGAAATGAAAGGCTTGAAATTTCATCAATTAATAAAATCCATTTACTCAAATTTTAAAGATAATCTCACTGTGAGTTACTGGTTTTGATTCTATTAGGTACATATTTTTAAATATCTACTAATTTCTATCCTTTTAAATGTCACAGTTAACAAGTGACAAATTACTATCCAAATTCAAGTTATATAATGATATTTGTATCATATGCTATTTACTATTACCAGTGCCTGACATACAGAAAGCGCTGAAAACAGTATTTGAATGTCTGAGCTAGGGAAACAACTCAATGGTAATGTGCTTGCCTAAGACACACAAGGCCCTGGGCTTGATTCCAAGCACCTCCACAAAAGAAATTTTTTTATTTTTTGATAAATTATTTGTAATGAGCATAAAAAAGAAACTGAAAAGCAGTTAAGGAAAACCTGAAAATGCTACTCATTTATTATCCAATAAATCTTATAAAATCAACTTCTATTTTTTAAAAAATATTTTTAGTTGTAGATAAACAGAATAACTTCCTTTAATGTGGTGCTGGGGATCAAACCCTATGCCTCACAATTCTTGGCAAGCCCCCTCAATTCACCTTCTTAAATAATGATTACTATAGTAATTGCTTCTAAATGCATAAATTTAACCTTAAAAAGTGCTTTGACAAATGAAAAGTACAGATAAAATATAATTAAACAGGGCTAAAGTTGTGGCTCAGTGGTAGAGCACTTGCCTGGCATATGTGAGACACTGGGTTTGATTCTCAGCACCACATACAAATAAATAAATAATAAAAGGCCCATCAACAACTTATTTATATAAACAATAGGTTTGTTAATATGCTGTAAAGTAAAAGCTCAGGCAGGAAGAGATAACTTACTTCTCCATAGATTCTAAATGTTCCAGTATCTTCATCTAGTTCAATGGCGGTAACTCCAGGAACCTTCCTAGCTTGTTGTATATTACTACCATGTGTACCTATTGCCAGTCCCATTAAATCTTCTCTCACAACAAATTCTTCATGAAATGCTGCTGCAAGTTGTTTCGTGCACTAGTAAAAACAAAAAAATTAGAATTTCTTACAAGAAATCAAACACAAAACAGTTTTTATACACTCAGGCTCACAGCATTATTCAAAATAGTCAGGAGGTGGAGAACAACCAATAAATGGATAAACAAAATGTACATAAAATACAGTACCTTTTAACCTTAAAAGAAATGAAATTCCGACATACACAAGGATGAACTTTAAGAACATTACTTTGATAAGTGAAATAAGTCAAGTTCAAGGACAGCCTGAGCAAATTAGCCAAGCCGTTAAGTAACTTAGTGAGATCTGTATTTAAAAAAAAAAAAAAAACCACTAAACAAAAAATAAATAGACTGAAAGGAAGGAGGGAAGAAGATGGTTTGGTTGGTTGTAAGAGCCTAGAGAGAAAATTTAGGCCAAATTTCAATTGCTTAAAAGAAACTCATTTGGTGTCACAAAAAATGGAAGCAAAAACATGTTTTGACTAGACTATTTGTACACTATTTATTTATTTATAGTACCAGAAACTCAAGCCAGGTGCACTTTACCACTGAGCTACATCCCCAACACCTTCTATTATTCAATTTGAGTCAGGGTCCCACTAAGTTGTTGAGATTAGCCTCCAACTTTATTACTGGGTTCAATCACGAGTGTGTGTGTGTGGGGGGGGGTTGTAATGTTTGTGTGTACAAGTGTTCAGAGGTGGGAAGGGTGAGGGAAAGGGGAAGAGCAAGAATAGTAGTGAAAAAAATGAGAAAAGAAAGAATCTTGAGATAGTGCAGACACAACAGGCTTAATATTAATAAATTACATGCCTATGGGGAAGGAGGATACTGCGTGTAATGTAATTTCCTTCACCTAATCCTCATATCCTACATGAGTTATGAAACTGATCTAAGTTACTCAACAAGTGTGTCATGACTGACAGGGAAAGGGTAGTTTAAAAGAAAAAAAAAAGTAGTAGGGGTAAAGACAGAGCAGAGAACTAGCAATACAGTAATTCAGCAACCCTAGTTTAGTCTCTAAGCTCTTTTGACAACTAGTATCTCAGCCACAACAAAATAATCAAGAGGCATTTAGCAAAAGAAAGTTTGATAAAATAGAAGAGTCCTTCTTCTATGACCTCCAGATATTAGGCATAAAACAGGCCACAGAAGGTGAAAAGCATACTTATAAAAATAAAGGTACACAAAAATAAACATACTTCTACTTTATAAACAATAGTGAAAAATTTATTTTCTTTTTTATTAATTTTTTTATTTATGTGATAGCAGAATGCATTACAATTATTACACAAATAAAGCACAATTTTTCCTATCTCAGGTTGTATACAAAGTATATTCACACCAATTCATGTCTTTATACATATGCTTTGGATAATAATATCCATCACATTCCGCCATCATTACTAACCCCACAAGCCCCCCTCCCTTCCCATCCTATCCCCTCTGCCTATCTAGAGTTCCTCCATTCCTCCCATGCTCCCCCTCCCTCCCCCACTATGAATCAGAAACTCACTTACTTCTAAATGCTTAGTGGCCTCTTCATTTCTGGACATTAGCATCAACTTTGTACGAATACTTCGCAGATGCATGTCACTTAAAATATTTACTCTCTTCACAGTTGCTTCACTGGCGGACTATAAACAAATTAATCACTCAAAAGTTTAATTGTTTTTCAAGATAACACAAACACAAATCTACACATACTATCTTCTTTAATTTCATCTATTACACTTTTGACACTCCTTCCTCCCCTAAGTTAGGTAACACCCCCCTTTTCTTAAATAATCTTACTTTCCTTTCTAAATTATCTGCTATCAGAGTAAGTTTGGGTAGGAGGGAAATCCAGAATATAACACATTAAAAATTTTACAATTTTAAAAATGTCATATTATCAATTTTTTGTTTCCCTGACACCAGAAAAGATCAAAAGGAATTAACACTTTTACAGCTGCCAAAATTCTTACACTGTTTTAATAAATTCACTATACATGTTTACCTTAAGCTTTTATTTTCAAAATATCTAATTAATAAGATCTATGCAAGTCATTAATTAGCTACCTTAAAATATGTTATTATCTTACCAGTATCATTAGCTGCGTGGTTTCTGGATGGTAAAAAATTCTGCATGCTCCTACTGCTTTTTTAAAATCTTTATGTGCATTTTCATTAGCACACCTAGAGAGAAATTAATTCAGATATTATGATTTCAATAACAGATTAAATTTAGGGAAGGGTTATAATGCAAACTTAATATTTCATTTTGACATCTCCCATTAAAATCTTGTTTATTAAAAAGGCTTCCCATCAGAAGGTTTTGACTGAGAAAAAAAAAATACTGTTCTGCAGAAAAAAAAAAAAAAAACCCTCACAAAGCAGTCCAATAGTAAAATTACTCACGCCTCTCTCAAATCCTCAGGAACATCAACTGTGCACTTGAAGAACGTATTTTTTTTGACAGTTTTATTCTGATTGACAGGCCGAAGACGTTCAAATGTCACTATTTCATTGTAAGTGGCATCACAAGCAGCATATTCAATGACATAAAACTAAAAGACATCAAAATACTTTAAAAATCCCTTCTGAACAAAAATAATGAACTCTAAATGAAATTATAATTACCTTGCTCAGCTTAACCAATAAACTCTTCTCCTTCTAGCATAAATACTAAGCCCATTTTAGTTGTATCAATCTAATTTGCCTTAACTAGATTATAAATTTTTACAAATAAGAACTTTGGTGTTCTTTACAGGCTTGAGGTGTGCCTCTGGAAAGCAGCTTTGGTGTTTGCCAACATAGAACACAAACAAAAAATTAACTGTCTAATGAATTTTTGAAATGTCAGATCAACTATTTTTAAGGTAGGCTTTTAGGCATAAAACTGAATGCTGGAGGGCTGGGGTTGTGACTCAGTGGTAGAGCAATTGCCTAGCACGTGTGAGGCCCTGGGTTTGATCCTCAGCACCACATAAAAATAAATAAAATAAAGGTACTGTATGCACCTACAACCAAAAAAATTAATATTAAAAAAAATTGAATGCTAGAATAAAATTTATAGAAATCAAGAGCTGAGATTTTTTCTTGAAAACAATCAAGAAACAAGTGTCAACATCACTTACTTCTCCTTTCATCATCCGAACTTTAGCCAACCACCATCCACATGGTTCTTGGTCATTTGCTCTTGAATATACCTGAGAAGTATAGTGGGGGAAATGTGTTTATCCATTCATCCCAAAAGATTTCAACATTATAAAATGGCTTGTTATATATTGCAAATACTAAAACAAAGAAAATGTCATCGAAATTGGTATACTAAATGAACTTTAAAAAAGTATTAAGTACACTTAAATTTTGCTTCAAAAATAAGCCTGAATACTTTTTTGGGTAATCTGGTTTCTTGGACTTACTAAATATAAACATTACTTTAAAGAAATGCTTCTTACAAGGTAGAAAGAAAATTACAGGTCCTACAGTCTGTGTCACCATTATTCATCAAAATGAAAAGCTGTTTTCAAAAATGATAAACCCCATTTTAAATATATTTACACATGACATTTAGATCCTTTGAACCCAAGCCAAACATTAAAATGATTGAGCTGAAATACAAAAAATTACTCTTTTAGTCCATTTAGCCAACTATACAGATATTATATTCTTTATAAATGTTAAATGTTAACATCAGCAATTTTGGTATTGTGGGGTTTTTTAGGTTATTTTTGGTTGTGTGTGCGTGTGCGTGTGTGTGTGTGTGTGCGCGCGAGCGCACACGCCGCATCTTCGTGTGCACAGACATTTTCTGTTTATTGTTTTGGTTTTTTAACAGTAATAGGATTGAAAGCAGTCCCACCCAGCAACATTGCCTGTTATTCTTATAAACAACATACAATAGAAAATATCTCTTCTGCCAATCAGTAGCTTATCATTCTCCTTATGATACAGAACCCTGCATGATGTATTTTCAATATACACAAGTGGTTGGCTGGAAAGAAACAACAAAGCAGTGTGCCACAAATATCTTGATTACAGGACCTAGGACTGCCTATGCAGAAGTCGTTAGGGGAAGTCTACAAATGGTATCAATACCCAAACATGCAAATAAACCTTATGGAAAGCCTGAAATCCTATCAACATCATTTTAAAAATAGTTTAAGTAGTGGGAATAATGGCACAGTAAATGAATTAAGACAAAACCTAATCATGATCAGTTGGGTGTGGTGGCGCACAACATGTAATCCACATAACTCAGGAAGCCAAAGCAGGAGGATTGCAAATTTGAGGTTTGTAGTTCAATGATAAAGTGGCCCTGGATTATAGCCTCAGTTAAAAAAAGACACCTTGTAGTAGTGGGAATACTAGAATAGAAAATGAATAAAACAAAATCTAATAACAATCAGTTGGGAACTGGTGGCTCTAGTCTGTAATTCCAGTAATTGAGAAGGCTCAGGAAGGAGGATCAAGATCAAGGCTAGCCTCAGTAACTTAGAAGGATTCTGTCTCAAAATATAGTGGCTGAGGAGTAGGCCACCCCAGGTTCAATTCCTAGTAAAGACACACTATTAAAGATCAACTTTTATAGTATCACATGATGGGAGAGGGTGGCGAGGCAACTATGGGGTGAAAAAAACAGGAAGACCAATGTTACAATCAGGATCTGTAAACTCAATTTTAGCACATTAATTTATCTTGAGAAGATCTAATTAATGTATATTTCATCACTTTTACTGTTTCTTAGAGATCTTCCACAAATTTTAACTGAATGAAACTCATTCCACCTTCTAATTTGATGTTATATACTGGACCCTTTTACAATAAATCTAAGTAGAGCCAGGTATGGTGATGCACAACTGTAAACCCAGCAGATCAGAAGACTGAGTCAGGAGGATCACAAGTTCAAAGATAGGGCCTTGCTAAGTTGCTGAGGCTATCTCAAAAAAAAAAAAAAAGTTTGGGGATGTGACTCAGTGGTTAAGCACTCCTGGGTTCAATCACTGGTGCCCCTCCCCCCAAAACGAATAAATCTAACAATCTTAGTTTCCCTCTATCTTGAAATATTTTATTTTTTCATCATCATTGATTAGTCTCAGCTTTTATTATTTATTGGTGCTTGGGCCTGCTAAGCTAGTACACTACCAAGTTGGACCCCAGTTTTTTTTAAAGATTTCTTAAGAATGATGGCAACACCTAAAAGGATATCACACGGAAATTATTACCGCCATCTATCAGTTTTCCTTATTGCATAGCCTCAAGTATCCCATCTCTTTTAAGAAAGCACCAAAACACTGACTATACCATCTTTTTTTGCTGCTTTCTATTATTTGTGAACAGTAGAGAATTTGGAATTTATTATTTTCTATCCATAGTTAAAAAGAAAATTTACACAGGAAGACCCTTCACAATTACTATAGGAACCAGAAGGCAAAAAAACAGCAGCACTCTAGATTCTATTGATGAATGTGAAATTATAAAGCATAATGTCGCAGACTATGAAGTCTTCACATGACAGCATCCTAGATAAATGTCCTCAAACAGCTTATTTCTAGGAACAAAAAAAGAAAGGTAATATTCTCATTCATTTAAACACTCAACTGGAACTTAATCACATGAAATATTTATCTGATAAGGAGTTGGAACATGCTCTTTTCCAGAATACAGGATAGTATTCTTGTGCACCAAAAATTAAGTAGAAAAATGCCAAAGGCAGTCTTTAAGTTGACTAGAATGACAGATGCTGAATATAAAATTTTTAAAGGCTTAGTCAATCCAATTGGATAAATACAAAAATATGCCATAATTATAAGCACACAAAAAAATGGTTGTAATCTTTGATAAAATTGGAACCCACACTGTTTCAAACTATTTTTCAAGTATTGCATTCTGATAATCCGAATGTAAAATGAACTAGAAAATGAGAAGTAACAACAATAGATCTTTATTATAGTACTTTCCCTTGTACTACTGAGGCTTAAACTCAGGAGCACTCTACCACTGAGCCACATACTCCCACCCTTTTGAAATCTGAGAGGGTCTCACAGGTCCCAAGTTGATGAGGATGGCCTTGACCTTGAGACACTACTGCCTCAGCCTTCCTATAGTCACTAGAATTACAGGCATATAGACAGTGCCCAACCACAACAGATCTTTTCAGAAAAATATTTAAAATGTGATATCAATATTTACAAGACGTACTGAGTTTTAGAATCACAAATAACAGCTGATGAGTAATTAGCTATACTGAGAGAATTTTATCCATTTTAGGTTTACGTATCATCAAAACAAGGAATATGGAATCAAAAACAGAATTACATTTTATATTTTATTAATATGAACTTCACTACACTTCAGTAGTTGGGCACCTCAAGCTAGATTTGCTAAAATGATAATATTAAATTACTTAAACCTCTTTTATTCTATTTCCATCAAAGCTTACCTTATAGAAACTTAATTCATATGTAGCGTGTTTACGGAAGAAAAACTATTTTCAAGTGGCTGGTGGCTTTAATTCTCACTAAATATTAAAATGATGTATTCACCAAGCTAGGGGTGCAGCTCCATGGACATGCCCTTGCCTAATGGGCATGAAATCCCTGGAATCAATCCCAGCACCACCCTAAAATTTAAAAGGGGGAAGGGGACCTGGATTCAGTTTTCTACCTAATTTATGCATGTCTGTAAGCATCATTAATAACTTTAGTTCTGAAAGAGAGAGGCAACAAAATCTAAGTCCCTGAACCTAAGTAACACCACTATTGATTTGGCTCCAATTTAGTAGTATGGAGTCAAATCACTGGAGATATAAATCAAGTGTAATTGAGTGCTCCTGAATTCATTCCTCAGTACTCCTCCCCCAAAAAGAAAAATCTCTTTAATAACCAAATATTATAATTGTAGCCTACTGTACTATGTCACTAATATTGATTACTGAATGGATTTGTGAACAGGAATAGAAATTCCCATTCTCATATTTCACTTAACTCAAACTAACCCTTGAAAGCAATTCCTATCATTTCTAACATCCTAAAGTCTCTTCAAACCGGAAGTGTTTAAAATGGAACAGAAATAAAGGAGTGACTGTAAGAAACCTAAAACCAAATAGAACTCAGTAAAGACTACCATGTTTCATTATTGAAAGACAGAAATGGGAAGGATGAAATCTCAAAACACTAGTTTTAGGATCTTTTCACTAAATGAGCCCTAGTTCTTCCAACTTTGTTATAAAATAATCTCTAAATTCAAGCATGCAACCATTATTGATTTTGGTAAGCCTATCTGAATCCCTAAAGTTAATTTTTCATTCAAGTTTGACTATGCCTTTTGAAATACCAAATAAAGATAGAACACCATAATTTTTAACATTTTTCCATACCCTAACTTTATATACACTTTACTCTAAAACAGACTTCCTAAGAAATTTTACAAATAATAATAAACTATAAAACTGAATGCTTCATCACAAAGACCCATTTTCCAACATATGAAACATGAGTACTGTTCCTACGTATCTGCCATTTTAAATCATTACAATCCACAAAGAACTAGAAAATGCACATAAGAAAAGCAAGCTTAGGCCAGGCAAGGTGGTACATGCCTGTAATCCAGCAACTCGCCTGTAATCCCAGCGACTCAGGAGGCTGAGGCAGGAGGATCACAAGTTCAAGGCCAGCCTGGGCAACTTAGCGAGACCCTGTCTCAAAATAAAATAAAAAGGGCTGGGGATATAGCTCCGTGATAGAGCACTTACCTACAATATTATAAGCCCTGGCTTCAAACCCCAGTAGCAGGGGAAAAGAAAAAAAAAGAAAAGCAAGCTTAATAATATTCAGAATATACTATTATCAATTTATCTACCTACATGACAGTAACTCATTGACATTACGGCTGATACGTTTTTAAAAAATAAGTTTCATACCAACTTTCTTGACAATATTATGCCCCCAGAAACTGGCAGTATGTCAAAACAGAAAAATAATCAAGAATATATATGCTCTTCCTCCATGTGTGAGCATCTGCCAAGCAGTAAGGCTAACAATGGCCTTGGTATTATGAAAAGACTAAATTAAAACAGCTAAAAACTTCATGTTGGCTATGAAAATCAAACTCCCTATCTTTTGATGGTATACCATACATGCACATTTTATTTTTATATAAATAAAACATTAAAAAGTTATGATACAGCTATGTCCTATTTTAAGAT